AAGTGTGACTCCTGAGCAGAAGGTATTTCTGACTGAAATTTGTATTTCTAGTATGTTTCCCTCAGCAAAATGGAGTAGCTGGTTTTGTGTGTTTGGTTTTTGTTTTTAAACAGCACGTGGCTGTATATTTTTGCAGGAATCCAGTTTCTATGTCACTGCTCTTGAGTTTGCTGTTTGTCTTTGTTCAGTGATACAAATGCTGCTTTGCCTTCCCAGGGATGCTGTCAAGCCAGAGCCACTGGCCTGTTGAAATGGCAACATGGCTTTGCCACCAGCATTGCTGACAGCAGCGGCTGCAGGCACGTTCGTGGGTCAGCCCCACCACAAAGCCACTCGAGCTTCGTGCTTTGATTGTGCTTTTTGGGGTACACACAGTGGTTTTCACTTTGGATATTAGATTTAAAATAAGCTGAGCTGGATTTCTCCTCAATGCTGCTTTGGAAGAGTCACCATGTAATTCCATCAGAAATCTCTCTCCAGCGATACTGGATGTAGTGTAAGAACACCTGTGGTCATAAAACATTTCCAATAGGATGTTCTGTTCTTATAGCCGTAGCTCTCCAGGGAAACAGAGTAGCAAGCAGAAAAAGATTCTGCTGGAATTGGGGTCTCACAGGTTTCAACTTCTGGTTCCAACAGTTGGGTCTAAGTAACAAAGTGCCCTCGAATTTCAGTGCTGGTCTGGGGTATTTTGTCAGTAAGCGGTCCTTGCTGGCTTCATGACTCCACCCACTCTGCACTGGCAGTCCTGGATGAAGGCATGTGTGCGCGGCAATCACGCTCAGCTTTCCCACTGAGCATGCGTTGCTTTATGCTCGTTCTAAGCGTGACTCAAATGATGTCTGCCGTGGGTGTGCTGGAGTGCTCCAGGGGGCTCCGCTGTGTAGGCTGTCCAGGGCACCTATTCTGTCTGCCCTGCCCTTCTTCAAAGAGCTGTGTCAGAAGTTGGTTCATTTTCAAGATGTACTCTCACACTTTCATCTGTACTGTTGAGAAAAAAATTTTGTTAATTGCTAAAATGGTAAGGTCTTGCTTTCTTTTTTTTTTTGTCAGGGGGTTACTGGGAATTGAACTCGGGGGCACTCGGCCACTGAGCCACATCCCCAGCCCTATTTTGTATTTTATTTAGAGACAGGGTCTCACTGAGTTGCTTAGCACCTCGCTTTTGCTGAGGCTGGCTTTGAACTTGCAATCTTCCTGCCTCAGCCTYCCAAGCCACTGAGGCATGCTCCACTGCCCTCAGCAGGTCTTGTTTTCTTTAAAGCTCCAAAATCATATATATAGACTTGATTTAATTTTAAACTCTATCATATTTGAGGTAAGAGTCAGATCTTCAGAAGCATGTGGCACTCTCAGGATTGCACACACATGAATCCTACAGAATTCAAACTGCACTGCGACCTGTGCTCCCCTTTCTGCTTTTACCCTGATCTGCCGGAAATGCCACTTTAAAATTGGCRTTGGCTTCCATATTTTCCCCCAAAGCCAGCCCTTTGTTGGCAGGTGAATGTGCATTTTTAAAGAAATCTCCAAAGTCAACAAAAGGAAAATCTACAAAACAGCACTTGTGGGCATGCGTGGAATGAGAAGCAGGAGCACAAGCGCTGCCAGGGGTGCACGCGCAGTAGGAGCCGGGTTCTGCCGTAGAGTGACAAGGCCTCGCACACACCTGGGCTCAACCCAAGACCGAGTTCTGGTCAGCATGTTTGTGCACAAATCTTGTTTGCTATTGAAAGGATGAGGGAGACGTGTGGCGGACAGAGCAGGCCAGGCAGGGCCGGGCAGTGTGGTCAGCAGCCCCTGACTCTTTGTCTTCACAGTGTGCAGTCTGGTCACCTAACAGCTACACCAGGCCCATTCAGAGTGTGCATCAACTTAGAAGAGACCTCTGAGATGATGTTGGGTGCTCACGGCCCTGACCATGGGTTTCAGATCTGCAGACTGTGGAAAACAGTGACTGGGGACAGAACAGCCCAAGCCTTTGGGCCCACAAGAAGCAACAGCCCAGTAGTTACAGCCCCGGAGCCCCAGATGGGACACTTTGCTCTTTTGGGTTCATCTGACATTTGGGCAGGTTTTACACTAGATGTATCCCTTCATTTCACCGTGAATTTTTGCCTGTTTGTGGTTTGTTGCTCCTAATTTTCTTTTGAAGAAAGTGGGGATTTACCTCATGATTTTCCTAACTCCACGTGGAGCTTCCAGGGGTTGCTGTGATCCAAAGGGATACAGCAGTCAGTGCTGTCCTGGACAGGGACCCATGAGGTGACTCAGCCCCTAACTCACATTTGAGGCTTTGAGTTCCTAATAATTGTCACAGCCCACCCAAATAATATCCCTGGCTTTTTAACCAGACTTTTAAAACAACGGCTGCAGTTTACTTGAGGACCACATAACAAGCAGTTGACATCCAACACGTGGACCTTTCAATCTTTGATTTTTTTGTCATTGTGTTGTTACTGTAAAACTATTATGTGCCTTTGTCATCTCATAGTGATTGAAGATGGGCTGTGCAGATGTGGGGGAGAAGCCACAGATCAGGGTTAGATGGCTGCTAATTTAGTCATCTTCCTGATGGATTGCATATTGTGGTTCTCTTTTCCACTTTAGCATAAACAAATGTCTCAAGGAGGCGTTAGTGCCATCCATGTTAGCTGTCTACACATGAAATGAAATAGTGGAAGCTAGAAAAGTTGACTGTGGACTGTACTTTAGAATGCCTTTCTACAGTGATGAATGCATTCTCTCCCGATTCATTTCACTTACCAGGACTTTTTCACATGCAGGGGTTAAGTAGGCCTGATCCTCCTCTCAGTGCACCGCTAGAAGAGCCCACATGAGCAGAGGTGACCTGAACACAGCCAAGAGAGGCTTGGAGCTGTGCACAGGTGCAGCTCACAGCCAGCCAGCAGGGCTCCCTTGCAGGGGGAGCAAGGGTGGCCCTCGTGGGAAGCCGCCACTAGAACACATCCTAGAGACAGGGAGGCCAGCAGTGAGTTGAAGCAGTTACTGACTTGGAAATAATCTTCCAGAAAAAGCCTGTTCAGAAGCTCAGGGTGCTCTTCACAAGTTCATCTAAGAAACAAAGCAGCCCCAACAGGAGCCACTTCTGAAAACTGGCCCTGGACCGGCTTATGGGGTAAGGACACCCAGAAGGAAATCTAGGATGCTTAAGTTGATGCCGGCCATCCACAGGAGGAAGTGAGGCCTGCACCATGGAGGCACATGTTTAAGCTGCAGTGCAGTAGTAGTCCAGGAGCAGGCGCCTGACGGTTCAGAGGCTAACTGAAAGCCATTGAGCGGTCTCAGATCCTGTGGGGTAGGTGCTGTCATGCCCCTCAGCAGTGAACCGTCAGTGAGCTGAGGACCAAAGGTCAAAGTAACACCCCAAGCCATGCCCACACCATTTGTCTAAGAAGGTTCTTGCCAAGTTATCATTGAGTATTGATACAGAAATTCCCTGAATGGTTTGTTATTTAAAAAAAAAAAAAGAAGAAGAAGAAGAAGAAGAAGAAAGAGAAAGAAACTTAAATCTTTATTACTCTGATTTTTCAAATAGTCCATGTTTAAATTTTTCCTACAAGCAAGAAAGTTAAGTCCATTGGAAACATAACACAGAAAAATCATCGGTATATAGATTTTAAAAAATGATTTATGTTAATCTCTTTAAAGGTCTCATAAAAATATTGGCTTTTTTACATCTAGAGCCACCAAGTGATAGTTTAATGGTGGTAAATGGGATTGTATAATCATAATTAGTTTGGAAGAAATAAGAAAAGCATCTTTTATCCCTCTTCTTAGCTTTACTACTAAGAATAGCATCACTCCCCCAAACTTTAAAAGTTTCTTAAAGATTTTACATAAGAAAAGCTTTGACTACAAGGATGAAATAGAACTTCTAAGGCCTTTGCTACATTGCCACCATCTTTCTTGTTGCTTTGGAATTTCCCCTAGGAGAAGTGACCACTTTGCCATTTAAATCTCTTCTCTCATTACCAGCCATCAGAGAAGTGACATTGTGAGACAGTTTTCTCTTCTGGATAGAGGACCCTTGTCTTTTAAGGGTGAAGAGAAGTTGTGTCTTACCAAGCATTGGGCAAATCTAGTAAAACGAAGTCAGCAAGAGATGATGTCAACAGCATTTGGGGCAAGGGACTGTGCAGATTTGGGAAACTTGAGCTAATCTAAGTACCTGTCCTCTCCTGTGATGAAGAAGCCCTGCCAAAAAGCAGTGGAGAGGGCTTGGGTTGTGGCTCAGCTATAGAGCGCTCGCCTAGCATTTGCAATGCACTGGGTTCGATCCTCAGCACCGCACAAAAATAAATAAAAGTATTGTGTCCAACTACAACTAAAAATATATATATTTTTTWAAAAAAAAGCAGTGGAGGTGTGTGTCTGCTACCAATTTTGGTAAGGGGAAATCAGTGTGTTTTTAATACACCCTGACTTCAAAAAGTTAAGGGTTGAGGAGAGAGTTAGCAGCACTTTCTCTCATTTTTTTATATCAGAAAATTTAGGGCAAAGAATTACTTTTTTAATATCCCCACACTGCCCATTTGTTTTTTTTGTTTGTTTGTTTGTTTTTACCTCTTGTGGTTTTGATGTGAGGATACTAAGCAGTGCTAATAGTCAGATCTTATTAAACATTAGACATTAATTTTGCTTGCTTTTGTAATTCCTGTTCTTATTTCAAGTTCCCTACTCTTGCTAACATTCCTCAACATGAATAATTCTGAATAGGTGTCGTAATTATGAATGTGTAGCTTATTTGTATAACTTATGATATTTGGAATTTTTAAACACTGTAATGGACAGTTGCCTAGTAGTAGAGTTCAGTCTCTTTCTCCAGGAAACAGTCTGGTTTTAGCAAACATGAAAACTCAGCCCCGCCCCTCACCTGAGTGCTCTATTAGAGTTGACACCAGGACCGTCTACTCTGCTGTGCCGTGCCGTGCCGTGCGCCGTCAGTCTATGTGTACCTGTGCTTTCTTTTCATATAGGCAAGGMAGCTTTCCTGGCATGAACCAGAGTGGACTTGTGGCTTCCAGCTCTCCCTACAGCCAACCCATGAACAACAGCTCTGGCCTGATGAACACACAGGCACCGCCTTACAGCATGACGCCCACCATGGTGAACAGCGCCACAGGTAACCTGGCAGCTCTGGCTCCCAAGGGATACCCTGTCCTACCCTCTCCTAGGCTTCCCAAGTGAAGTTGCCCAACCAGCTTGAGAAGATGGATCCACTGGTGAAAATGGAAATAGTACTACTTTTCAACTTCTGGGAAACTGGCTCAGTCTGTTTGAGACTTAAGGGTTACATCATATTCTGTATAAATTACTGTATTCATTCTGTGCTTGTATAATATGTGGACATATTCGGATATCATTGATGATTGCTAAGTACAGACACTAAGTTCTGTCTTTGAGAATTGTTAAAGAGTATTGGTAGATCCCAAAGTAAGATCTTTGCATTTGACAGTGGTAGAGATAAATTTTGAGAACATATTCAGGGGAAATGGCTGCAGGGCAGAGCAGGGAGAGCTTGAAGCACCTTTTCATTTGGGGAAACCCCTCTAAATGTGTACCTGGAAGCAGCTGCTTCATAAGTGCTATTTGCAGGTCACCTCCATTGAGAAATTGCCATGAATGTCTAGTCACGTTTAGCTCTTCCAGCCCATTTTGTAGTCTCAACAGTTGCATTCTTACAAAGTCATGTCTGATCAGTGCATTCAGTATTCTGTCAGTGTGTGGGAAACATCACCAATGGGCTCAAACCGTATATCTCCCATTTCCCAGAATCTGAGACCTTTGGGTTCCTGGACATCCCAGGCAACAAGTGCTACTTTCCAAATGATGAATTGCTCTGAATTGAGTTGACTGATAGAGACCCTTGCAGCAGGACTTGCTCCTTCACTTAAGGCAGAACTTGACTTAGGAGCTCTGTGTCCTCCACCACCTTATGACATGTCAAGAAAACACTGTAGCCAGATCCCTGGCTCCCTTGTTTACCTTTTTCCATTTGTGCTGCCTTCTGCCACAGTCCTGTCTTGTCCATCTCAAGGGCCACACACACTCCCTGACTGAACTTCTAAGTCACCGATTTCTAGTCTCATTTAATACTGATATTACCCAATTACTTCCCTTTCGAGGCTTGTGAGAGAGGAAAACAGAAACTATGGGTAAAAGTGGAGGTTTTAAAATAAATAAAATAGCCTTCCTGATGTCACATAGGTCATATTTCATTTCAGGAAGGTGGTGTTTGTACTAGAGACCAAAGGCCAACAGCAGGTAGCCTCCCTTCCCCCACCAGCACTTTCCCCGGTACCAGAGGACCTGGGTTGTGACAGTCTTGTGTTTTCTCTAACTTCCTGAATTAAAATTCTTGGAGAACATTAAATTACACAAATTTTCACCTATTATTAGCAATATTCATTTTTCCCTTTTTTCTTTAGACCCCAGAGCCACAAAACTACCCAACTACAACAGATCTGCAGTGCTCTGCCTACGAAGTGTGTATCTCTGAGAAGCAACCAGTTTAATGGGAATTCATAGAGAGGGTGTCTTTCTATTATTAGTATTAAGATAATTTGCTATTCGTTATTTCATACAGAGAAAATCTGTTCAGTGAATGGCCATTTATCCTCACAGTCTTTTGTATGGGTAGCAGTGTATTTTTATTGAATTGTGCATTTTGACATTGAATTTTTAATAATTTAGACATTTATCAAATTTTAATCTGCACATTTATATAATTTTATTTCATCCTTTGCTGAATAAGTCAAATGCTATAATGATATAGAGTAATTATTCAGCACATCCGAGGAGTCTTGGCCATTTAGCTTGTGCCACATGTATGTTAACAGGTCCAGTAAACCTACGGAGCTGAGTCAGCCCCTGGGAAGCCAGCAGTTCAGGGTTACACAGCGGCATAGCTCCTGCTGGGGCTGGGGCTGACGCGGTGCACTTGACTACAGATGGGTCAAAGCGGCCCTTTGTGGTACCTGTCTCGTTGGTTTAGGCACACGAGAGGAGGTCAGTGATGACGACAACTAAGCCCTTCTTCATCAGAGTGCACTTTGGGAGAAGGTGAAGATAGTTCAGATGCCAGCCAGGGCTGGTGGTAGATTTCCTGACCTCGGTTTGCAGCCAGAGCAACTGACATTCCAGCATTCTCTTCACTGAGTTCGAACAGTTATGCTACAGCAGTGTACAGGGCCAAAAAAATCCTCCCTTGTAGTGACAGACTGTTACAGGCTTCAGTGAACAAGTGATTATTTAAATGGAGCCAGTGTAGGTGTAAATGTGACAACTGTTTCTTCATGTGGAATACCTGGGAAGCTGGATGGAGAGTCGGGACTTCCCTCTTCAGGGTCTTTCCTGCTTCTGTTCTAACGTAGACTTAAAGATTGGAACTACGTATCATGGGCACAGTTACATTAGATCCTATAGATGGTTGATGAGCAGCCATGAGGCACTGCGCCGAGCCTTCTCCTTGCAGAGCCCTGCTCAAATTCCAGTGGTGAGTCTTTCTGCCAGCTGAGCTTTGGTCGATCCCAGAGGCAGAGCATCATCACTGTCCTGCCAGTGCAAGGCATATCAGCTCTGATAGCCCTTTACAGGGGAAAATGTCAATCACACTACCCAAATTTATGAATCACCTACTTTAAAGATCCTTTAGAATGCTGTTAAAACCACAGATTGCTGAGCTCCCATCAGAATTTCTGGGGGTAGGTCCAGGAATCTTCATTCTTAACAAACTCCTCAGACAATTTTCATGTATGCATGCTAAAGTTTGAGAATTGATTATTTGGAGGTATTTTGCCCAGCAATCACCTGTAGAAAAGCTGCCAGCTTTGTGTACCATTAGCAAAGCTGCCTAGAGTGGGATCTCACAGCTGGACAACTATCTTCTTGGGACCTGACAGTCTTCCATAGAGGAAGGTTTGGGTCCTTTGCACCCTTACTGGTGGTTAATTATCTAAGTAGTTTAAAGGCATTTTGTTTGCTTGCTTGCTTGCTTTAAGTTGATGGTTTTAGACAAATTGCTGCTTCCCCAGAAAAAGGATGTGATAAGCTATCAAAATCAGACCTCTTAAACTGGGGGGAAGTGTATGCTGATGTGCCAGGCTGCAGGGGCAGGGCTTTCTTGGAGCATCAGTATGGTTGTGAGGAGAGGTTTGCTGTTCTCCTGGAGCAGCCGTGCACGTCAGGCTTGCTGGGGCTGCTGCATGGGGAGGAGGCACTCATGCAAATTATGGCTTTGTGCCCAGCCTGCACGTTCTCACTGGCAACCCCCAAGGAAGGCCTCATATCGGGATGTTTGAGGGATTCTCTCTGGGCTTTGCCAATCCAGTGAGAAGGAAAGGCTTCCCCCGAGCCTGCAGGGAGAGAAGGTAAAGGATGACAGGAGGAGGCAGGAATGAGTGTTTAGTTCAGTTTTACTTGTGTCACATGTTCTTTATGTCCTTTTGAATGCATAAAATCCAGGGCAGAATAGCTACCGGAGGACCTTGACCATGCTTGCTTTAAGAAATCATTCTAGCTGTTAAATTTCAAAGGTAGAGCCAGAGGCTAGTGCTTGAACGTACTTAATAGCGCTCAGGCAGCGCCTTCTGCAGCGGCCGGTCCCTCGCAGCCCCTCATTGCATCTGAATGTCACATGCTGGATTACTGATGTCAGTGGAGAGAGAACAGTACCCTGATTTAACACATCCTTAGAACAGTGGTGGTCTTTCTTTTCTGGGAAAGGAAAAAAAATAGTGCCCCTGGTGTACATTGCCTGGGGAAGCATATGGCTCATCACCGTGATTCATTGAGAATTCTGGTAAGAAGTCAAAATAAGCATTTCAACAAAAAGACGTGTAAAAGCCATAAGGAAATGCCTTGTGATCCACTTAGTAAAATAAAATTTACATTGTGAGGCAGGAGTACTAAGTAAAATTAGAACTCTAAATTCTATCCTTATTCATCTTTCAGAATTATAGAACAATGCAATTTTTGACAGATATCTTACTTGCACATTCAAAATATCCATTTTAAAATGTATAATAGACAATGAAGAAACTTGAGGAGTTTCAAACCAACATATGCTTATAGTCATGTAAGTCTGGTTTTTAAGTCAGTAATTATCACTAATTATCATAATACATATTAGCCCAGTTCTTTATGATTCGAAATTGCTTATGTGTACTTTAACACCTTTAATGCATAAAATATGATATTACTATTCCTATTTTCAAAATAATATTCAGACATGACTTAGAAATACTGTCAGCTGTGAGTAAGCCGTCACCAGTGGAGAAGCAGGCCTTAGCAGAAGCCACGTGCCACGGCCTCCTGGCGTTCTCTGGAGCTGGGTGCTGTCGTTCTTGCGACCCTCATGAGAGACAGAGCAGGGCTGTGCAGCTGTGGTGCACAGGGCCCTCTCCTCACCTTGTGCCGGTTTTTGACCCTTCTGTTCTTCTGGAAGGAGTGTTTTTCAATGTACAGGTTCTTACTTTGTTAGACCCCAGAGATAAAACTGCACGAAATCAGTCCAGCACTTTGAACAAGGCTGTCTTCCTGGTGTAACATCTCTCAGCTGCTTTTTTGAGGTTTCACACATTCACAAAAATAACAGCATTTTTAGCTGATCCCAATAGATTTTTCTCTGCAGCTGCATCACTTGAAAAAGCTTTTTGTTCCAGTTCTTAAAGTCTAAGTATTGAAAGTAATTTGAAAAAAAAGAAAAACATCCCAATTATGATTTGTGTGTGTTGTGATGACTTTAAGGGCTGACTGGGCTGCGAATGGGCTTTGAAAAACCAGCCAGTGTGTCCATGGTGGAAAATACAGGATTTCAGAGTGCATTATTGAGTGTGCTGATGTAAACTCGTGGGCACGTGGCACGGTAGGCTTTTTTTGGCAGGACCTATGGTCTCAACCTGCAGCGATGCTAACGATATTAGCAAATTAGCACCACGGAGCTTGCCAGCTAATTCACCAGAGCCTGCTCACTCTCTCACTGCTATAATTAAAACTAATTATTTTCTAAAACATAGTAATACATGAATATGTGCAATAATCATTTTGTAGTGGGCAATCTGTGGAGTCTTTTTTAAAGCTGCCACCCCCACCCTTGGCACATGGTGCCCCGTGTGTGCGGCCTGGCTGAGCCAGCACTCTTGCCTTTGCAGCATGTGAACCGGGTCCTGCCCGTCAGACCTCGGGTTCCTGTGATTCTGACAGGGAGCGTTTTCTGGTTTCCCCTCCTTTATAAGGCTYATGCCCTCTCCCACCCCCTCGCCTCCCCGCCTCACTGTCCTCTCCACACATCTGCTTGATGTCTCACTCGAAGCCCCTCCAGTCAGGGTTGTACAGATGGTTTTCACAGCGGGGTTCTCTGGAAATTCAGCTGTGATTCCCTGGATAGTTATACCAATTCCCTGCTGAATCCTTGTTCTTCCTTTAGGAAGAAATTGAAACCCATCGTTTTAACCTGAAAATGTCCATTAGTATCTGTGATGAATGTGTATAAATTAAGTGTTCTCTGGTGAAGTTGTGGTGCCTAGAAGGAGCCCATTGCGTGGGTGGCTTTCCCCCTGCAGTGGTGATCTGAGCTGGCTGAGGACTGGAAGCAGTGTGCCAGGCTGCAGGGACACCCCAGCACCTTGCAAAGAAATGCACAGCCTTCCCTGCAAAAAGTCTTTTCCAATTATTGTTTTTGAAGTCATTTGGCTAATCATCTTCCCTTATTATAGACTAGACCATGTGCAATAAATAAAAAATTTGAATGATGCAATTAAGAAGTTTCAAATAATTTCACAAACTATAGATTATTTGAATTGAGGATATCAGAAGTCACTAAGCCCTCTGGCACCCAGGTAATGGATGGATATACATACTTAGTGTTTGCTCCCAACCCCTGATGAGCATGTAAACAGTTGCTTATTTCCATTTGTTGCCTACTCTGTTATAACTAAATAATGTTGATAATAAGTTGGCCTTTGGTGGGGTAGGTCTTCAACATACAGAATGGTTGTCACTTTTCTTTTTTTTTTTTTTTTTTTACAAGAAGGATTGCCAAAATGTGGTGCTATTCACATTTCAGAAATAAGAATGCTCCCGGTTACCATTTCTCTCTTCTTTTCTTCCTTCAAGGGAAATTCAGGTGTCCCATGCCTTACTCAGTAATAGTGCTGGCAGCACAGTCGGACAAATCACATGTATAATCCTGACTCTTTCTCCTGTTTTCTATTAGCATCTATGGGTCTTGCAGATATGATGTCTCCCGGTGAATCCAAACTGCCCGTGCCTCTCAAAGCAGATGGCAAAGAAGAAGGCACTCCACAGCCCGAGAGCAAGTCGAAGGTACTTCCTCCCCTGCACGCGGTGTGGGCGCTGACTGGCCAAAGCTGCCATGCTGCTACTCTGCCCTGGTGCTGGCTACCCTTTTTGTTCTCTTGGTCTCTTCTCTCCTGCATGCCTTCATTTTGTGCAACATGTTGTAGTCTTTTCTTTCCCCACCCCCTCCATGGTGTGGATCTGAAAGTTACTAGTTCTTACGGCATTAACTCATGTTGGGGGAGGGGGTGGGGACAAGACCCACCTGAGAAATGCTTTGGGGGTGGGGAGAAGTGAGGGATCTTGCCTGGTTTTGATCCTTGCAGCCATTTTCTCTGCCTTCAGTTTGTAGCTTCCTGTTTTGGCCGCCCAGCAACAACAACATACTTAATATTTTGCTTTCCTGCCTTATTTGATAAATAAGGTGAACAGCTTTTTTTTTTTTTTTCTTTCTTTCATAAGGGGTAACCCATGCTTAGCATTCCATGTAAGCTTGAAGTAAGCATGGTGGCTTTGTGGCCTTATCCAGCATCCAGCAAACTTACCAAATCATACTAATTAAGAATGTTGTTTTAATACCTTATACATGTGTTTGTGTGTGTGTTTGTATATGTCTTTATATATATATATATATATTATATATATATATATCTCATATATATATATAAATTAGTCTGTTAAACTGGATGTGCTTTTTGTTATTTTAAATAAAGTTTGCCCTACCTTTGTCATTTTTTTTTTTTATTCCTCTACCACAGGATAGCTACAGCTCTCAGGGTATTTCTCAGCCCCCAACCCCCGGCAACCTGCCAGTCCCTTCCCCAATGTCCCCCAGCTCTGCTAGCATCTCCTCCTTTCATGGAGATGAGAGCGATAGCATTAGCAGCCCAGGCTGGCCAAAGACTCCATCAAGCCCTGTAAGTGGCTCTGGTTGTTTGTTATTTTTGTTTTTTGGGGTTTTTGGATAATTAATTAATTCTACATTAATGCTTGCTTGTTGGTTTGTTTTATAAGTCTTTTTCTTTATTATTGATCCTTGAAAAGGTTTTCTTTATAAATGATTGCATTTGTAATAAAATGAGTACTGTTTATGTGCATTGTAAAAGTTGGTTTCTGGTAACAGCTGTTTGGTGAAGTGCCCCCGCACAAAACGTGCTGGGCCTGAACTCAGGGGGCATTCTCCAAACAAGCTGTTTCTCCATTTACATGGGAACTGATGGCAGCTATGGACTAAGTGATACATTTGGCCCAGCTAAGTCTGTCCTGGGCTGTTCCATCTGAAACATTTCAAAACTGCCTACCTAAATAAATAAATATACAACCTGGGTATGGTGTGGCATAACATCAGCCCTGCTTCATTTTCAAATCATATGGCTGAATTAACAACAAACTTACAGAAATGTTAGTGCATGTGAATTTTTAGATTAATAATGTGTACCTATATTGCAWTCAGTTGAGGTTGAAAATGGTGTTCTGCACAAGACTGCTGATAATCTTGAAATACGTGTGATTTCCATATGATATATAAATAACAAATGGTATTGTGTGTATCAGGGAATTCTTTTAGCCTTAATGTACTWAGAGTTGGGCCTACTAAAGAAATTAATTCTGTGTCATTAAAAAAAAAAGAGAGAGAGAGTAATGTGCTATAGTAACCTCTGTTTTACATTCATATAGGGAATCAAAAGATCTTTTTGAAAAATCTTTAACAAGTAATTAGTTGCCAAGAAGGCTTAATTAACAGGCTAATTTTGTAAGGCAACGAATTGAAGAGCACAGCCCAGGAAAAGTGAGTCAGAGGGAAGACCACTCTGGCTATGAGGGATCTGGCAATCTAGTCAGAACCCAGAGGAGTCTGCTATTGATTATCCGCTCACTGGGTTAAATAGATAGAGCTTGGCGGGCTGAAGAGTTGGTCTTTCTAGTAAATGTTTGTGAAATTCACATGGAGCTCTGGTACAACCAGCGTTTTCCCTTTCAGAGGAAGAAAGGGCACTCTGTTCTTGCCTTCCCTGGAGATGTGTTTCCATTGCAACCTGAGATGAGACATGCAATGCCTCCAGGATGTGTGAAGCAGGGCTGAAGAACAGGGAGCGTTGACTCCTTAGTTTTGGTGTCTCTATGTTATTTGCTTTGAGTCTCAGAAGGCAGCAACATTGTGTGGGGTTTTTTTCCCATAATCCACCCTGGTTATTTTTTCTTCCTCCCTCCTTCCCTCCCTCCCTCCCTCTCTCTCCCCCTTCCTTCCTTCCTTCCTTTCTTCTTTCTTTCCTCTCTTTATATGGGAAATGGCATTTTGGATCAGTAATGCTTTTAAATGAAGAGGTAAAATTCAAATAACGTTCCAAACACACTCGCACATTAGCTCAGAGGAAAAATTTCAGAGGTAGAAAATAATAACCTTTAAAACTTCAGACAATAATTAAGAATAATAATTTACTAAAAGCAGACTGTAAAGCTGGGTTTGTGGCTCAGTGGCAGAGCACTGCCTAGCAAATGTGTGGCCCTGGGTTCCATCCTCAGCACCACATAGAAATAAATAAATAAAAGGTATTGTTTCCGTCTACAACTGAAAAAAAAAAAAAAGACACTACAAACAGACCATGTGTAAATTGTCTCCTTGCTAATCTCAGAATTACAAAGAATGACTGAGGGTGGGTACTGACTTCTAGCTTACTGGTCAGATTGTCTCCATCCAGCAAGTCTGTAGGAAGAGCTCATCAAAATCCCACTTTCTACTTAAATGTAAGAAAATCAAATAATCCTTGACCCCATTTTCTGTTTCTAATACAATTACACTTGAAATTGTATATTAACTTTTACTAAATATTTCTACATTCCTTAGTCTTCTAAATTGTTTTATGTTTAAAATCTTACAAGCAAACTTTTGGCTGTGGTGCTAGAGAAGCTGTTTGCTAAAGTGAAAGTTGTTATACTCTTGCTCTATATTGCGCAATAGTCACTTTTTTTAATGAGTTGGTAATTCAGGAAGGGGGACCAAAGGAGGGCATCATGAAGGACCACATGTCATTTTCACTATCCAATCACTGCAAATATATGCAATTCAGGAATATTTAACTGCTCTGTCTGAGATACCACTTCAATTTGTGCTTGCAGTTGTTCTTAATAATGTCCCTAATAAAGCCCATCTAACAGCAGGACTGAAAGAGGCAAAATAATAAGCCTGCTGTTGCTTTGACAGTGTACTGTGGACCAACATTGTTTTGTTACAAAACATTCTAAAATAAAAATAAACATTTGTCCATACACATGCACATATACATATCACCAAACATATGGTAAAGACTGTGAAAATGTAAATCTGCCTAAAAGGCTTGAGGGAAATGTACTTTTAGGCTTAATTAAAGTATATGCAATGAAAACATTTGTGGCACCATAAGAATGTCTTGCTGTAGTTTTTTAGCAATTTACATTCCTTTTTTTGCCTCCACAACAGTTTCAGAACAGTAGGATGTAATTTTTACAGCACTCAAGCAGCATTAGATGTTCCTTGGTGACCTGGAAAAGTTACCTGGTCTTCCTGAAGGGCCATCGCTTGTCCATTGCTGGGGGCATGGTGAGGGGAGCCTATGGTAAAGACCTTTATCTAGAGCTTTCCTTGTAGTCTATTAATTTTTTTGTTTTGGTTTTCTTCAGTCCTAGGGAAGGAACCCAGGGCCTTATACATGGTAGGCAAGTTCTCTACCACTGAGCCGCATCCTTAGCCCATGGCTAACGCCTACAGTCAAGAAGAGGTGTGTTGAGCCTGGTTAGTGGCGAGAGCGATGACACATGTGCTCTYTATCTACTGAGCCTTGTTTCTCCTCCTGTCCTTTTTCTATATTCAGACACCCAGATCCTGGCTCTGGTAATAATTTGGCTAGTGAGCAGGCCTTGGGTGTGGAGCTGTGAGATGCTAGCAATGAGCCTAGCCCTTTCAGCCTGCAGTCTTGCTGATTGCATCCACATTCACTTCACACCTTTCTCACTGAAATCCTGTGGATAGGCTGTTTGAATCGGTTCTTGGTTCTTATTTGAATGCTGCCAGACTTTTCACACTCTTTCCTTCCATTGGAACCTTCATACACAAATGTCTATAAGGACTATCAATATTATGGCCACTGTGCTAAGTGCTGTGGATTCAACCTAAAGTCTAGTCAAGAGTGCAGTCAGACCAGCACGCCCACGCCAAACAGTTTTACCAACTGTGTAACTAAGGACTGCAAAGGAAACATGAAGTGCTGGCAGATTCAAATAGTCCCCCAGGATTGGTGTCACACAGACGGAGGCCCAACTGTGCGGTGCAGTGTCCTTTGTTATGGTGCCATAAAAGTACTTTGGGGGAAGATCTTAATATTAAAAATAAACCTTTTATCTTTATACATTTTTTCTAATTTTAGGAGAACATATTGAGATAGCACAAGTTAACAAAGAAAGGTGACAAGAGTTAAAATACATATATGCAAACTAAGCAGCTAATCCTATCTCAGGCCCGCTCCAAGTTACAGGCATCACTGCCTTCCGATAGCAGGAGCAACCTGTCTACACCCCAGTCGTGATTAGCCACTCCCCAGTCTCAGTTTAGAGAGGACCAATGGCAGGTGGAGGGAGGGTCTGGGGTTGTGCCCCAGTGGTAGAGCACTTGCCTAGCACATGTGAGATACTGAGTTCAATCCTCAGCACCACCTAAATATAAATAAGTAAATAAAATAAAGGTATTATGTCAAACTACAACTAAAAAAATTTTTTTAAAAACTAAATAGATGGCAAATGGATCTTAAATTTAGGGTAAGGATAAAATTAGTCATTTTAAATTGAAATGATTGCTTTTATTTCTCATATCTTTAATCTCAAACTTTACCTCTCATTTTTTCAAAAGTGACATGAAAGAAGGAAGACATTTTTTAATTTAACTGATTACAGGAGGTAATACTTTCTTCCTCATTTTCTTATTATTTCAAAACTTCACTTTTGGAAAACACAGGACTTATTTTTTTCTAGTGTGTCTCCCCAAAAGAAAAGCAGCTCAGTACTAGCATGTACCTGGCAGCAGCATCCTGCTGATGACACCCATGTCCTGCAGTGCAGTCAGTCTAAGAGTCCAGTGTGAGCTGTGTAGACACTTTGTCTTCCACCTCCAATAATCCTGGGGTACAATAGCACAGAAGGAAGGACATATGTGTACATAACCTGGATGCATGTGGGCATACATATATATATAGATATAGATATGGATGTATGTTTTAAGTTCTTACCTAAAATAATTTCTTGCCACGAGTGGTGGCATATGCCTTTAATGCCAGCAGTTTGGGAGACTGAGGCAGGAGGATTGCAAATTCAAGGTTAGCTTCAGCAACTTAGCAAGACCCTATTTCAAAAATTTTTAAAAAGGACTGCAGATTGGCTCAGTGGTAACAAGCCAACAGGTTCAATTCCTAGTACCACAAAGTAGCAATGATCATGATAATTTCTAAGTGAGTTGAAGTTTTAACATCAACACCAAAGTCAGTTCTCAAAAGTTCACACTATTTTTTATCCTACCATTCTACATTTTAATCTACATCAACTGCGTCACCCATAATTATATATTTTATGTAAAGATTTTATGCCTAAGTAATTCTAAAGGTGAAGGCTTAATACTGCCGCCAGATGGCTTTGGACAGTGGCATGGCAGATGGGAGCTGCCACTCTAGAGGCTCTGAGGGTTCCGTCCTCAGGCATCATTTTTCAGCGCCTGACTTTTACTAAGGGTCATGTCAAGAAATAAGGTGTAACAGCCAAGCACAGTGTCAGTCATGTTATTGACCACCCCCCCACACACCAAATTTCAGCTATATATTTTAAACCATGTTAATGCTAAAAAAATTAAAAAGAAAAAAAACGGGACTGTTTCAAACTCTGACTATATTGCCAGTGACAGCCTAATAAATACTCAGGAAAGAATGAAATAAATTATTTGTTCCAGGGAAATCTTTTTTTTTTTTTAATTTTTTTAGTTGTAGATGGACACAATATCCTTCTTTTATTTATTTATTTTTATGTAGTTCTGAGGAGCAAACCCAGTGCCTCACACATGCCAGGCCAGCCCTCTACCACTGAGCCACAGCCCTGGCCCCCAGGGAAATCTTTATTGAGAACTTAGCAGTGGTTTTACACAATAACCCTAGCATTACAGATATTATAAATACATATACATTATTACAAGGATAGAGACAAAAGATAGGAAGGAATGTAATAGGGCTGCATAGAACTGAGAGCCACCTGCCCAGATCCACAATCCAGAGGGAAGGTGAACATGTGTTACAGATGTGCTGAGGGTGAGGCCCACGTGTGGCTGGAGCAGGAGTTGAGAGCTATTAAAAGAAGAATCTGAGAGCCCCTTCGCCTGACAGCAGCTCGGGCAGTGTTGAGTGGGGAGAGCCATGAGAGCTGAACCCTGGCCCGGCACATGCACCAGCTCAGGGCCAGACTTTGTGTTTCTCAGCAAGTGCCGCTGTCACTCCTCTGAGTGATTCGGGGTTTTCATGMGACACACACTAGCCATTCTTTTATTATTATTATTTCTTATTTTTTTATTTTTTTATTTTTTTTAGTTGTAGATGGACAGGATACCTTTATTTATTTTTATGTGGTGCTGAGGATCGAACCCAGTGCCTCACAGATGCCAGGTGAGGACTCTGCCACTGAGCCACAGCCCTGGCCCCACACTAGCCATTCTTGGTGTGACAAGGAAAAATAGGAATAGATTTAGTTTGGGGGCTCTGCAATGTGACAGGTAATATTTTTAATTCACTGTGATCCTTCTCTGAGCTAGAACCTTTTCTTTAAAAAATGCCATGACACTTCATTGGAATGTTGCCTTCTGGGATTCAACGCTTATAAGTTAAAGCAGGTTTCTGTTTATTTTGGTTTAGTTTTTTAAGTGTCTAAAAGGGAAAGTTTGGGCCCTTTAAAGTCAAAGTAAAATCTTAACTAAGAGAATGTGTAGTCTGTGCCTGAACTAGTAGCCTTCATTCCTGACTGTCATGTGATAGCAGTAGTTTTTACTCTCGTCTCTTCTTGTTGGTGAGCTCACAACTGTTTCCTCACCTTCTTCCCTCCACCTCCCTGCCCGTCTCCACATGCTCTCTCTGGCACTAGAAGTCCAGTTCATCCACCACCACTGGGGAGAAGATCACAAAGGTCTACGAGCTGGGGAACGAGCCAGAGAGGAAGCTGTGGGTAGACCGGTATCTGACGTTCATGGAAGAGAGGGGCTCCCCGGTCTCCAGTCTGCCTGCAGTGGGCAAGAAGCCCCTGGACCTCTTCCGGCTCTATGTCTGTGTCAAAGAGATTGGAGGTTTGGCCCAGGTAAGAATGAATTAGGAGTCATTGCAAGCGGAATCTTACAGAAGCTTTCATTGAATATGTGGACTCGGGGGGKTTTTTTGTTTGTTTTTCTTTTGGGGGGTACCAGGGATTGAATTCAGAGGCACTCGACCACTAGCCACATCCCCAGCCCTATTTTGTATTTTATTTAGAGACAGGGTCTCACTGAGTTGCTTCACATGTAGCTTTTGCTGAGGCTGGCTTTGAACTCATCATTCTCCTGCCTCAAGTCTACCAAGCCACTKCGATTACAGGAGTGCACCACCACATCTGGCTGGAATCAGGTTTTTCTCTCACAAAGGAAGTGCTAAACCTGTTGGAAAGTCACCTTCCTGATGGGGAAAGGGGTGGCTCTGCCACAATCCAGTGTGACCTCGGTAGCTCTAGAATTCTCTGGAATCTGCCATGAATTCATATAAACACTTTAGAAATGTTTTGTGAATGACTGAATTAATTATCTGGATCAGATATAAATCACATTCACTGTTTCCCTCTGTCCAGAGCAACTTATCACAGAAATTAAGTCATCCTGGTAAAGCCACGTCCATGACCTCTGGGCAGTGAGGAGGCTGCTGTGTGGTTTGTAGTAGAGCTGGGCTGGAGCGGAACAGGGGAGGCGGCCTGGGTACAGAGCTCCAGGAGGTGCTCATGGTCCTGGTGAGCTACTGCTTAACTCTCAAAATAAGTGTCCCCTAAATCTTATGACCTGGGCACCTACTTGGCTCACCCCAGCCCTACCATTTTTTAGTAAGGAGCCTAGTTGGTTGGACATGTCCTGTCATAGAAACATGTGAAGGTACTAAATCATGAGCTAGTGTCACACTGTGGCCTTTGTCTTTCTATATGCCCACAAGGTGCAGGGTCAACAGACCCAAAGCATAGATGAGGAGGCCATGTGTCAAGACTGTAATCCCAGCATCTCAGCTAAGGCAAAAGGATCACAGGCCCAATTTAGGGAAACCCTGTCTCAAAATTAAAAATTAAAAAAGCTGGGGAAGTAGCTTAGTGGTAGAATGTTTACCTAGCATAGGTAAGGCCCTGGGTTCAATACCTAGTACAGGGGATGGGGTAGAATAGAAGAAGAAACTCTAATAACAGGATAAAGTACAATAATATAGTGGCCTAGGGACATTCCCACAGTAGGTAGCAGAGCCAGATCTGACTCCAAAACATGCCTTTTTGATTCCCCAGTAGTTCTCCACCCCAGCTGTGTATGAAAATCTCCTGGGTCCCACCCCAGACCAGTGAAATAAGACAGCCTCCATTCCTGGTGACCAAGGTGACCAGATCACTATCCAAGGGCAAGTCTTCATTCATAATTGTCACTGAGGGCCTGTTGTGTCTCATGCTACCACTTTGGGGGACACAGAGGGGACTTTTGTTCTTGGCCTTCCCACTGGACACCCTTTCACCTGGACACCTGACTAAGGCCTATGACAGAAACTATTAAAGCTTTTTCCAAGACTCTGCATCATCGGATACGAGTTATGTGACACAGACCCATGTGAGTGATGGTCATCAGAGAGAGTGATCCAGATACCTTTTCCCACCACCTTCCCCCACTCCCCACGTTCCTACACCTAGACTTTTTCCGACAGAGACTTCAGAATCACCAAGACCATCAAACTGGTATCATGTAGCAGTTGTCGGGCTACCTTATTGTGACTCTCTCAGCAGTGCATACCCAGATTGGATCTGCAGACAAGAATCTTTGCTAGCTTACTAATGAGAGGGTTACTCACATGTAGCTGGGGACAGCTGCACCCGTGCACTGACCAGCTCAAACCCACCAGCTCAGGCTGCCTCAAACAGCATGCTGACTGGTTTTGTGGCAGCCACAGGCCTGCTGTTTGCAGCCTTGTGTTAAGTGGCAGAAGAGGCTTTTCCCTTAGCATTCCACAGTTGGTTTATTCTGCGTCATTCAGTACTAGATGCATGGACGTAAAGAGCCCTGTAAGAAAGGTGGACTCTAGAAATTCAACATTTCATGAAAAGCTGCTGTCTCCTTGACCCTTCAGTGCTACTTAGCACAGCAGACACCAAAGGCACATCCTGCCCCAAGTCATTTGTAGATCTCCACGTTTCACTGTGTGTCTGACCTTTCATAACCTGCTCCCAGGAGGGAATGAGGTGAAATAGTGCCCCGAATCTTTATGTTGCACTTCAGGACCTCCTTGTCGTCTTGCCCTGTCCCTGCACTTGTCCCCGTCCCTTCTGCAGTTGAGGTGTCTCCAGCCTGAGTGGGCTCATCCTGTGCAGTACTTACAAATGTAGGCCCCCACCCACGCCCTCAGCCAGGGAGCCACAGCACCACGACGTGTTTTTAAGTTGGGGGCATTTGGTGACAAGGACTCACCGCCTTTGCATAGGTGCTGCTTCTGCCCACACCACAAGAATCCTCCAGTGAGAGGGCAGTGGACAGATGGACATGGCCAGAGTTACAGTCTCAGTTTGGGAACTACTGGCTGTTGGAGAAAAGCACACTTAAATTGCAAAACGGTGCTATTACTTTTAAAGCCATTCTTTGATGCCCTTTTTGCTTAATTGGCCATGGGGTGGGATAGGTGTGAGCAGGAGTACCCTTCACTGGAGGACCCTGTGCGAGGCCTCAGGAGCTGGAGCCAGGAGAAGGCCTCTGTGAGCGTGCCTTTATGTCGCTATCAGCAGGTTGCTTAATGGCTTCATAACTGTGAACGCTGTCTGCGCTGCGAGTGGGAGTAATGAGCATTAGTTAAAAGAGGCAAATGAAAAAAAGTCAACCAAGACATTAAGTGCTTTTTTTGTCTCCTGGCTTTAAACAAGTCACTTTGCTGCAAACCAGTGATCCTGCTGTTTCTTCTCTTTTTCTTTTTCTGCTAGGTTAATAAAAACAAGAAGTGGCGTGAGCTGGCAACCAACCTAAATGTTGGCACTTCAAGCAGTGCAGCGAGCTCCCTGAAAAAGCAGTATATCCAGTACCTGTTTGCTTTCGAGTGCAAGATCGAGCGAGGGGAGGAGCCCCCACCTGAAGTCTTCAGCACCGGGGACACAAAGAAGCAGCCCAAACTCCAGCCGCCATCTCCTGGTAGGTGGCAGCGCTACAGCTGGCAGAGGATAAGCCCAGGGTGCTAGAGGCCAGAACTGGAGGCTGCACAGCTGTGGGGACAGGGAGAGAGGAGAAGAGGGGCCTTCCAGACCTTTGAGAGGAAGTGGTGTCTCCTTTGGTTTTATTGTTTAATTGGACCCACTGGCAGTGTTTAGGAAAGTGAGCGTAAGATTTGGGGTGTTGCCCTCCGTGGTCGGCACTTGAAAGGCCTCACTCTTTTGCTTTTACCTAATTTAGTCAAAATGGACTTTGCAATTCTGAGCTATATGTCTTTATTTCTTATACAAGAATTTTTAAATACGCCACATAACTGCATAAAATAAACATCACATTCACCTGTTCCGAAATTTAGCCCTGCTGCACCATGTCACCTGTAGGTATAACAGCTAGCTAGTGTCAACCCTTCCTCTTCCCAGGGTTCAGGTTTGTATATTAGCAAAATGAAATTCGTACTTGGTTTCTGATGTCCCCTACCCAGCAGGTTCTCACTTTGCAGGAATCCCGTGAACCACCATCAAGATCCGTCCATCCCTGCTTCTGAAAGGGGCTGAATGGTGAGCTTAGACGGAGTCCAGAGTCAGGACCCTGCATGCGTGTGGCTCTCCAGGCAGACAGGGTGCCTGTGCCTGCCTCTCCAGCCCCTGGGAGAGCCTGCCCTTCTTTGCAGCTCTCCCACTGGCCTTCATTCTCCCACTTAGGATTCAGATTTGAAGTTACTGAGTCTCTTATTTTGGTAGTAAATGCAGTACTTGAGGCAGGAAGAAGCTGGCAGCATGCTCTGCTCTAGGTGACCTTCCCACCCGAGAAAATCCCACCAATTCTGTTTTTGGCCACTCATCATTACAGAGGACATTTCCAAGCCCAGTGACTTTCAGCAGTGACTTTGCTGTGCTGCTCCCTGTCCCTACACAGGAGACAGAGGCTACACACACTGCTGGTGTAAGCACAGCCTGCTCTGAGCAAAGCTGTCGCTCTGTTCTGGTTGTATACAGTGGGCCAGGAGCTTTCAGCATGCTCATCACTTTGCCTTCCTATCAGTCCTGGCTCTTGATGCTGTTAGATACCCCTGAGAAAGCAAAGGCAGGAAGAAGCTAAGTTCCTCACAGCCACGCAGCAGGGCCACAGGAGGTCAGATTTGGGGTGTTTGACTCTAGCTCATTCACTGAACCCACCAAATGCCTCAGCTTGTATGACAATGTCTTTGTAGCAGATAAATGGTTGATACCTAGAAGGCAGAGAAGGGAGTTGTTCCCTTTTGATGATTGCCTCCAGCTGCTGTCTGGATGGCAAAGCTGGTATCTAAGGTTGCCAGTCAAGCCGTCTCACATAAACCTTTTCAGCCTGGAGTACACTTGTAGAAAACACACCTAGATTTAGACCTGTAGGTTCCAAGTATAAGAAGGAATCCTCCTCTCTGACCCCACCTTAAAAATCCTGAGCCTTTGTCACTTAGGGTGTTTCTGAAAAACTGGGAAATCTAATTTTTTTAAATTGCGTGTTACATTGAGTTCACAGAATGAAAGAAGCTTGCCACAAACAGCTCTGAAACTATTTTTCCAAAATAAAAACTCAGTGGGGTGCAGGGAACAAAGTGGTGATGTCTGCAAAGATCCAAGGGAAGGAGCATGTCCCTGAACAGTCTGTGCTTGTGTGGGGATTGCTCTCCCAGCATGCCTCAGCCCAGCACTGGAAGCCCCACCACAGTCCATCCTCCAGAAAGTGGAGGCCTGTTCTAACCGCTGGCTCTTTCCTTCCCCTTTTCTAAAACTGCTGCCTTTAGGATGGCATTACATTTGAGCTACACAAAAGAGGTTAGATTGTGCATGCACCCTTTGGATCAGATGGAGCTGGGGTCCTGCCTGTGACACAGGAGGCAGTGAAAACAGAGCTTCCTGGCCTTGATTGTGAAGTCAGTGGCCAGCCAGGAGAGCACCCTGCTGAGTTCTGTGGACCCCACAAAGACTGGCCAGAGAGTAGTGAGCAGTGGCGTCCTCGCATCCGAAGTCAGACCTTGCATCAGTTGTCCATGCACCCGTCTGGTGGCCTGTCTGGGCCTAATGCCACCACTAAGGAAAGTATCTCTGAAACATTTGTATTGCCAAAGAAGGAAATTAAAAATCTTCCTAACTATTCTCCGTGTCAGTATCTCATAAAAGATTATTCCATAATCTTTAATCTAATTTTCAGCAAAAAAAAAAAAAAAAGTGTTCTTTGAAGTCATTAAGAACACAATTATAGGGCTGGGGCTGTGGCTCAGTGGTAGAGCATTTGCCTAGCATGTGTGAGGCACTGGGTTTGATTCTCAGCACCCCATACAAATAAATAAAATAAAGGTCCATCAAATATTTTAATATATTTTTTTAAAATACTTTTAAAAAACCCACAATTATAGCAGGATGCACTAGCGCCACCTGTAATCTTAGAGGCTCAGGAAGCTGAGGCAGGAGGATCACAAGTTCACAACCAGCCTCAACAACTTGGCAAGCCCTAAGCAACTCAGAGAGACCTTATCTCTAAGTAAAATATGAAAAAGGGCTGGGGATGTGGTTCAGTGGGTAAGCCACATTTGGTTCAATGCCCAGTACCAAAAAAAAGAAGAACATGATTCCAGTTTATTCCTATCAGCACATCCAGGTAAACTAAACTAAATGATTCCCAAGAAGCATTCTAGATTTTTGTCCAAATAGTCTCTGAACCAAATGAAAAAGCTAAATCACAGCCGTACGCCTGTAATCCCAGCGTCTGGGGAGGCTGAGACAGGAGGATCACAAATTCAGAGCCCGCCTCAGCAGTTTAACAAGGCCTTAAGCAAATCAATGAGATCCTGCCTCTAAATAGAAACATACACAAGGGCTGGGGATGTGGCTCAATGGTGGAGTGCCCCCGGGTTTAATCCCCAGTACCAAGAAAAAGAAATGAAAAGAAAAAGCTAAATCACTTGGCTGAATCCTAAGAGCATTGCATTGGTACAGTTTTGATTTGATGTGGCTTCTGTGGCTCAAGATATCCGTATAGTCGGTCACTGGAGGCATGACCTCTTCGCCTCTGGGGCTACATTGCTTAGGCACACCAGACACCCAGGTGTGCCCACATGAACCTGGACAAGGCCTTGGGCTGTGGTCTGCATCTCTAAAGGCACCAAGGGGTCTCCATTACTGAACCTATAGAGTATCGCAGAGCCGTTGGGGACATCAGCCAGGCACCGGAACCACCAACCAGGTGGCCCCAGCAGGCCAGAGGGCGGAGGGAGCTGAAGGGCTCTATGGAGAACCAGGCACGGAAGCTCTACATTCAATTAGTTAGGCTGTAACCAAAAACCCATCCATCTTTGCTGGCAGGTGGCTGACTGAATTTCTATTATTAGTTGACAGGTGATGTCACAAAACCTGTCACAGATCCAACTAGGGAATCCTCAGTGGAAGATAAATGAGAAAGGGGCTGGGGTATAAACAAAGGTGCCCTCTGGTTGACCTCCAGTCACCAGACCTGGGACACATCAGCTGCTGTTCTCCTCACCCTCCTCCCCACGCCCCTCCCACCAGAACTAGGGCACCAGTTCCATGCTGTGTAAATTATCTTCCCAGCTAGGAGCCTGGCTGTTCTGTGTGAAGCTGTGAATGTACTTAACCTTCAGTAACCTTTCCATTGTTTACTTTAGAGTATACATTTGTAGCTTCTGGCAAAAGGTAGGGATGTCCTAGAGAGCTAGCCCTGCCTCCTCCTAAAGGAGCTGCTTTTTCCCCCCTGAAAGGAAAGGGAAAACCCTGGCAAGAGAGAATTTTTCCTTTTTTTTTTTTTTTCTGATTTTATTAGCTGTAAATGTGAGTACTTGTACATAAGGGTCATTCTGTGATCACAGCCTGTGCGCCTGGTTTAGGGAAGGCCGTGGGGAGCCTGCTTGCTTTACGGAGCAGGCGGTTTCTCATCCGCAGCCCTGGGGGCGGCTGGTCTGCAGGACTGCCCTGGTATATTTATAAGCCTGCCTTACCCTTTTATTATGACCTACCTGCTCAATATGCATTTCCTGGTTTGGCCAAAATTTTATTTGTAAGCAGTCATTAATTTTTTTCCTCGAAATGCCTGTGTTAGGGGCTAGGGTTGTAACTTAGCGGTCGAGTGTGCACCTAGTGCGTGTGAGGCCCTGGGTTCGAGCCTCAGCACCACATAAAAATAAATAAAATAAATCCCCGTGTTAGTAGAGATAGTCTTCCCACATGTCCGAGAAATCTTGAGTCTCTGTGTGCCAGGCATGCAGGGTGGATGGCACATAGAGCACAGCCTGTGACCAGTCAAACCAAGGGCCAGGGCCAGGCAGTTGTAATCCGGCCAGAAGGTCTGTGCTTAGAGACAGGCTTTCTAACAAGAAATCATCTACTCGTTCCCATTTCTGCCTCCTTCACAGTGTGCCCTGTAATCTGGGTACTTGTTTCACCTCTGTTTTCTCTGCAGGGACATGTGAATAATGCTAATCATAGTGAGCCCTGAGTTTCATTGGAAAGAAAGCAGAAATAGTAACAGCAAATGTTGTCCTTTCCAGTCAGCTCCACCCTGCCTGCCCTCGGTTCCAGTTGTGAACGCCCTGATTGTGAGCTCCGTGAGGGCAGGGCTGTCAGTTTGCTACACTCTGTACCCAGGTGTAGAAGAGACCTGGAGTTCAGTAGGCACCTCACCCGTGCCCAGTCAATATGTGGAACCAATGTCTGCCGACATCCAGCATGTTAAGGACCATGATGCCCGATACAGCTGGAGCCTTTAAAGTAAAATCTCAGAACTTCAGCAGCAACATTAAAGAACTCCAAACCAGAATAACTTGTGTTTTTTCGTGATGAATCTGATTTTATAACTCCAAAAACAACTGAGTTGTTAAGGGCTGTGCTTAGACACCCAGGTGTTGGGAAGGTGTTAAAATAACAGAAGGCTCATTGATACTTTGTATCATTCCTTATTTCTTTTCTGTTAAAAATTTCTCATTTCCCCAAGACTCACAACTGTTTTCTTATTTTTTTTCTAACGTAGCACAATAGTGTGCCAATTGTTGTACTAAAAATTTTATCCTGTTTTTCTTTATTTACATTTAGACTAGATAGATAACACTGGAATAAACATTGCCTAAAGCCTTCTTTTTATTATTTTCTTGGGATAAATGCTTAGGAAAGCAATTACCCAGTCAAAAGGTATAAATGTTTTATGACTCAAAAATGAAGTATATGCCCACATATTTTACTCAAAAATAATCTTACCAAGGATCAGTATAATTTTCACTATAAACAATGTGAAGCAAATAATTTTACTGACTGTTTTCAGTGGATATTGTTTCTTTTTATTTTCCTTTTTTTACTGGTACATTATAACTATACATAATAGAGGATTTGTTGTTACATATCCATACATGTACATTATTGATACTATTTCAATCAATGTGCCTTATTTTAAATTGTTTCTTTTATGTACATAAAAAGCAAAAGCCAGCCACTTGGCAACCTTTGCTTTCTTTCTCCATTTTCCCTTGCCCACCGCCAGCTAACTCAGGATCTTTGCAAGGCCCACAGACCCCCCAGTCAACTGGCAGCAATTCCATGGCAGAGGTTCCAGGCGACCTGAAGCCACCCACCCCAGCCTCCACTCCTCATGGACAGATGACCCCAATGCAAGGCGGAAGGTATGTTCAGAGAACTATGACCCATCCAGAATCAGATTTATCTTTTGATTTTTCAGGAGCAAACTTCACCAAATGAAGAAATAGTATTTCTAGTGAGTTTTTAGATGTTGATTATTATTAGCTTTTTTCATGTAATTTATTTTGGATGGTTTTTGCATTGGTAAATTTCAAGATTGGTTTATTAACTCCTACTATTATCATTAAGCTTTCACTTTTTGTTTTCTTTCCACTTTTTTTTATTGGTACATTATAGTTGTACATAATAGTGGGATTCGTTGTTACATATTCATACATGCACACAATGGCAACATAGTTTGGCCAGTATCACTCCCCAGCACTTCACCCCTCCCTGCATACCTCCCGTCCCAGTCTCTCTCCTTTGCTGATTTCCCTTTAATTTACATGAGATCCCCTCCAACTTTCTTTTCCTTTTTCTTCTCCAGCTTCTACATATTAGAAAAAAATTTCACCCTTAGCCTTCTAAGTTTGGTTTATTTCACCAGTGGTCTCTAGTTCCATCCATTTTCCTGCAGATGACATAATTTCATTTTTCTTTGTGGTTGAATAAAACTCCATTGTGTCCATATACCACATTTTACATATACCACATTTTCCCTATCTATTCATCCATTGATGGACACCTAGGCTGGTTCCATAGTTCAGCTATAAACATGGGTATGCATATATCACTGTAGTAAGATGACTTGCACCAACTTGTAAGTGATCCTTTTTCACTACATCCTTGCCAGCATTTATTATTATTTGTGTTTTTGATGGCTGCCATTCTGACTGGTGTGAGATTAAATCTCAGTGTAGTTTTGATTTGCATTTTTGCCTGTGCCTGATTTTAAGCTTTCATTGTTTGCATCTCTTCAGAAGCAGTACAATCAGTGTGCACGACCCTTTCTCCGACGTGAGTGATTCATCATTCCCAAAACGGAACTCCATGACTCCAAACGCCCCATACCAGCAGGGCATGAGCATGCCAGACATGATGGGCAGAATGCCCTATGAACCCAACAAGGACCCCTTTGGTGGAATGAGAAAAGGTACATGCAGAGGGGCCTCTGTCCATAAGCAGGCCTAAGGACACTCTTCGCACTGCTATTCCATTGCCAACTTACCTGTCCATTGAGAACAGGTGGAAGCGAGTGCTCTCTGGGTTTGGCGGGCCCCAGCTTTCCCACCCTTCTGTTTGTGGGAAAAATGTTAAGCATCTTAGTGCCTTATTTTCCTCATCTAGAAATTGGGAAAGTAATAGGACCTGCCTCAGAGGCGTCATGAGGATTAATTGAGTTCCTGCACATAAGCCTGTAGAGGAATAAGGGGTGCCTGTAAGCAAGCACGATCAGTACTACCTAGCAACAGTGGTGCTGTTCTGTTAGTTTGAGCCAGGCACAGTGCTAGGTGCTAGGTAGGATAAATCTTGTATAGCCCTACCCTCAAGGAACTGACACTCCTAAGAGGGGGGAGATTAGGCCTCAAATGGCTTATAAGATCATGATTGGTAGAAGAAAGGGGAAAAAAAGAAGAAAGGATAGCAAGAGGTTGGGACAATGAAGGGGAGGGAAAGCTACTGAGATTGTGTGGTTCTGAAGGCTCTGAGATGTCAGATATCTGAGGACAAGGAAGGAGCCCCCTCAGGACGTTGCTGGGCATATTTGTAGAGGGGGCAGCTGCCGGGGGCGTAGTGAATGTGGGCAGGTTGAGGCATCCAGGTCAGACAGGGACAGGCCCTCCGCCTTCATGGCAGATGGATAGATTTAGTTCTTTGCCATGTAAGGGGTGTTCAATGGGAAGTGACATGACTAGATTTTTTTGGTAAAAGTAAATTGTACATAAATAACTGACCATCTCATGGTGCATGTATTGAGAGAAGTTGAGTGGAGTCAGAAGTCCGTTGGGAGGGTGGGGTTGAGAGCCAAAGGCTGGTGGCTGGAGGCACTGGGAGAGGAACAGGACAGTGAGGGAAATCCAGCATCACTGTGACTGTGTCCAGGTGGTGAAGAGTGGCGATGTGTGCATGGTGTGACTTTGGAATCCTGAGCACAGGGACAGTCTGTAGCTGTGGGACTGAGAGTCAGAGAGCGGGAGGGTTCGGCGAACCCCTGGAGGAGGCCAGGAGTGCTGGGCGGGTTCCTCCCCAGGCTGCGTCCACATAAAGTCCTGGCTCACCCCCAGCATGTCAGCCCCAAGCAGAAAACCTGGAAGTTTGCTTTTTGTCATCCTTCCAAGTACAGCTGGGTCCTGTGAAATTGAGACATGATGCAAACATGAGTGGAAAACATTTCAGAAATAGTGAATGATATTTTTATGGAAGCACTTAACTCTGGGATCCCTTAATAAGGAAATCTGTGCTGTTATATTGTCTAAATAGAGAAGAACATAAACCTTGAAGCTTTATGTTTATGGTTTTCACAAGTATTATGGAAACTGCGCTGAATAGGGATAGGCTGTAAAAAAAAAATCTATTTCCTGTGGATTTCTATTTATCTGTTTTAATTTGGGATTAAAGTACAAATTTTTTTAGTATTGAACTAGTGAAAGGAAAAATGAAGAAGCCCCAAAATTTAAATATTGGGTATATACCATTAAACAACTGAGAATATTTCATGTATGATATTTCAGAAAACATAAAGCAAAGATAATCTCTACTTTTTCCTTTCAAAGGTTTCAGGGCTACTTATTCCAAGTAAACATTTTGCAGACCATACAATAATCTGTAGGCTCAGAAATTCAAAAGCTTGGTGCATGTTAAAGGTAGATATTTTTCATAGTGATACTAAAGGCTAGATATAACATTTTGTCAGTGTTTTTGTGTCCGTATCCCATTTTTAGACTCTGAAAATATGAGAACAATATGGGAAAAACTAGTATTGCCAGCAGCTGGGGAGGCTGAAGCAAGAGGATTGCAAATTTGAAGCCAGCCTTAGCAAATTACCGAAGCCCTCAGCAAATTATTGAGACCCTATCTCAGAATTTTAAAAAGTACTAAGGATGGAAAGTGTGCCTGGGTTCAATCCCTAATATCAAAATAATAATAGTAGTAGGAGTGATAGTAGGAGTGACGGTTAATAGTACTCAATAGTATTCAAAATCTCGCCTCAAAATCTACTGTGGACCATTTCACTCTCCTATCTATCTGCTATTAGCTAAAGTAGTATTTGTCTTGTTCCTTATACCTATAGCTTTTCATGGTATAAAAATGAATTTGGGGGTTGGGGTAGTGATTGTGGGGTTACCTTGCCAGGCACTAGGTAGATATATAATGTGCTTCATCAGTTATGTAGACAATGACTAGAACAATCCCTAGTATATTTCAGCTCACTTGCTGAAATTTTGGTGTCCATATCCCACTTTTAGACTTTGAAAATATGACAATAATATGGAAAAAATTGTATTTTAATCCCAAATTAAAACAGATAAATAGAAATCCACAGGAAATAGATTTTTTTTACAGCCCAATCCCTATTCAGTGCAGTTTCCATTCTTTAGTTGCCTCGTTCTGTGAGGGAACTTGGCAGTGAGCTGATCAGACCACTCTCAGTGGACATCATGCTCTTTGTCATGGCTGCCACCCGGAGACAGCTGCTGTGGGAGTTGACAACCCATGGTGTGGCAGCATGGTGAACCCAAGCGCCAGGCTTTTGCCTTATTCCTGAGGTACCGATCCCGACAAGTGATCATGGTGTTTGTATGTGGCTTAAGTAGTTATTTTGAGTATCTGTAATATCTGAACACATAGCTCTACTTGCTTTTTGTAGTGGAATAGATAGATACACCTAATGCTCTAGAGGTTAGGGTTAGTTCCTAATATTTCCTGTTGTGAACAGTGATGCAGTGGCTGTTGAATTAGCAGCACTTGTGACAGTGTTTCTGCAAATCTTTCCCTCACTCAGATTGTTCAAAGGACAGGAAGTTTTGTTTGTTTTGTTTTGTTCCTTGACTAAGTATCTCAGTAATCTACGATCCAACACACCACCCCCAAACTTAGTGGCTTCAACAGCACCACTTTGCAGTGTCTTCACTGTCTCGTGGCTGTGTTAGGCTGGCTAGCTCTTGCCTCCGTATGTTGTCAGCCAGGACACTGAGGTGGCTACCAGCATCTGACAGCTAGATTGGGAGCTCTGTGAGTGGTGTCTCTTGAGTGGCCAGTCTCTACAGAAGACTCCTGGAGCTTTGGGCTGGGGACTCCTCCATAGGAAATTTTTGCCTAACTTCTTGGTCCCCATGACATGATAGATGGGGCTCAAGAAGATAAGTCTCCAAAGGGAGCTTCCAAAAGAACATGTCCCAGTTGCGAGAATTTGCTTGTACCCATTGGCCCCACTGGCCAGTACTAATCACGTGATCCAGCTCCAAGTCACTAGGGAGGAGACTTCACAGGCCGAATATCGGCAGATGTGCTTCTTGGGGTTGTGGAAGAGTAGCCTCCCTTAGCAGGTATTGAGAACTCCGGGTACTCCCAGCACATGTGTAAGAGAGTGGGTCCCCCACCCCCACCAGGGATGATTAATGTCAGTCATTCTAATGTTTGCCAGTCAGACTGTGGGGAAAAGGCCTTGTGATCGTTTTGACTTGGATTTCTTTAATTATTAGTGAGCTCCCACATCTTTTCACATGTCACTTGTTGATTGTTCATTTGTTTTTCCTTTTCTTTGAATGGGTTTGTCCAGTTTTGTCTTTTTTCCTATTGGTTTTTAAGAAATTTTTTTGTGTATCCGGGAATTAAGCTATTTAATTTTAATTATGCTACTTGATTTTTTTGTTTTCACATCTACAAAATGGAAAGTAATCCATTCCGTCAAGTAGGAGGAAGTGCACGGTGCGTGAAGGCCTTGGTCCCGAGGCGGCCTCAGGTTCGCCTCAGTGCCGGCCTAACAGATGCCTGAGCTCACGAACTTAGTCAGCTTCTGCCTCGCCCGGCATAAAAGCAACAACCATCATAGAATGAAGAAAGCATGATGTATCAATTAAAGTTTGCATTAGAATGTTTAATTTGCCTGAAGGCTCGTTTCTGGACTTGGCCCCATCTCCTCAGCTGAGCGATGCAGATTTGCACGCAGGGGCTTATTGGCGGGCTACCTCTGTTAGAAATGGCCAGGGCCCAGCCCATCTGGAGCTATTCTTACTCTGGTGATTTTCTCTGTCTGATTTTGGAAGAGTCTGTGCACAGGTGTCGTGTCGGTCTTCAGGTCTTCTCCCTCACAGTGGAGCTCACTGTGTGTACACATCTCATTGTCTTCCTCACAGCTATGCCACGAGATGTTGAGTGGCCTCTTGTATAGATAAGACTTAGACCTCATTGGTATGGACCTGGGCCCCGAGTGGTTGCTGGTTGCTGCATAACAGGTGAAGGTCCCTCAGGCTGGAGTCAAGGTGTCGGCCAGGACTCCCTCTGAGTCAGGCTCTGAGTCCTTTTCAGATTCATTCAGGTTGTTGACAGAATTCAGTTCCTGTGGTTAAAGCCTGGTTGACCACTGGCTTGTTGACTGATCCCTGCCTCCTCTCTTTAAGGCAGTCCTCCCCACAGCAGGGCAGTGGCTTCAGGACAACTGAAGGTCTCAGACTGGCTCCATCTCCAGCCTCTAGCCAGGGATTTGAAGGGCTACCTGGATACTCTCCTTCATGGTTAACTCACAGCTGATTAGTGACTTTAATTACACCTGTGAAATCCCTTTTAGCATCTAATACACCATAATCAGGGACAGCATAACCCATGCTGTTCCTAGGCTCCATCATGTTCCAAGCAAGGCAGTCACTTAAGGTACACTTTGGGATGGCAGAGGTGTCTTTGGGGACATCTTAGGGTTCTGCCCCGCCAGGACCCACCTGACTTCAGACCCTGGGCTCTCTCATTAGTATTGTGGTGTGCCATGTGGACATGGGGCAGACTCCTAGAAGGAGTTAACTTGCAGATGCCTCATTTTATGCCTTTTCTTCAAATATTGCAGTGCCTGGAAGTAGCGAGCCCTTTATGACGCAAGGCCAGATGCCCAACAGCAGCATGCAGGACGTGTACAGCCAGAGTCCCGCAGGGGCCGTGTCCAACCTGAGCATGGGTCAGCGGCAGCAGTTTCCCTATGGGGCCAGTTATGACCGGAGGTGAGTATTTTTCAAAAGGAAGACAAGAAGAATCAGGAGAAATGCTGTTCTAACTTACTCTCTGAGCCCTGGCGCTGAGCCACTGAGGGCAGCACAGTGGCCCTTCCTGTCTGGTTGCCACTGATCCCCAGGTGAGTGTCAGCTGGCTGCCTTCAGGGACAGCCACAGCAGGACCACAAAGAAGGACCTTGTCCCCAGGCAACCAGATGGCTCTGTACTTTTGTAAGCAAATTCATAGCATAAATAAGATACTCGGGGCTGTTCTGGCTGCTGCTAGAGGCTTCTCCTGTGACCTCAAGACCCAAGGCCACTCCTCAGCACACCATGCCACACTGCTGCACCCAGCRTGTACTTCCCTCTCTGAGGTGGTCACTGTCACCACAGAGAGGTGGCCCGGCTGCAGCAGGTGTGGCTTCTCTGGGAGCTACCAGACTCCTGGGTTTCGCAGAACCAGCTCTCTTCTCCCCACTCTGTTTCTTAAGGAGTGTCTGAGGGTTGTAGCGTCACACTTCGGGCGTTCCGGAAAGGTCTTCCAGATGTTGCTCCTTCTGATGTTTCCACTCTTCCTTCTAAAAAGAGAGTGCACAGTGCTCCTTGGTAAACAGTTCTGAGAAAGCCCGCCACGTGGCCTGCATGAGCTCTCTAAAGGAAGCCATCTTGTCACTGAAGTGGCCAGTTAGGCCACAGGGCCAGCCCAGAAGGAAGAGAGYCATTGAGATGTCAGAGAGAGGTCATCACAAACTGCCTACAGCAGTGGCACGGGGGAGCTTTCTTTGTGACGAGACCCCTCCCCTGTGCCCCTGGTTCAATATGCCCTCCCATTTGTGGGAGTGTCCGCTCCCTCCCATCCAGGGAGGCACTCAGGCTTTAATGTCATGTTTGATCTTCAAAGGAAAAAAAGAGGAGAGACTGGAGGCAACCAAAGAGTGTGAGTGGAGTGCCACTCACAGGGCAGAGCTGGCTCTCAGGCCACTTCCTCCAGGATCTGGGGGTGCATATGCCCAGGGACCACCTGCTGAGATGGCCCCTCTGGCCCTCCACACATGGGGTGCTCTTTAGTTTAATCAGAGGGAGGAAGTTGGGAAGATCACTGTTCTACTAGGTAAGGTTTCTCCCTGACATTTTCTGCACACCGGTTCTTGAGAGTATATAGCTATGTGGTGCCCAAGTAGCAAAACACTGTCTCATAGTGGCTGAAGAATTTGTTCTTCTAGTTGTTAACCCTGGCCATATATATATGCCTCAATCAGTTGGCCATTATAATGTTTAGTGTGCCAGATCGGGATTTTGGTTTGAGTTTAAGGCCCAGTTAAAACTGACTGACTGATTTTATTAACAAGATTACAAGAACATTTTCATATATTATTAAAAGATTTCCAGTACATATGCTTTTCTGGTTCAACCACATGAGATTTACTTCATTAAGTTTGCTTTTCTGAAAAATGTCACGTAGATTTTTATCCATGTCAATTATATTTATTTATTTCTAGATTATCATAGTAGTTTAAAAAAATTCTACGTCTTTTTTACCTGTTGATATTTAAAAATTTATTTTTTTCTTATTCCTTGATTATGTTAGGAATATATTCAATTTTGTTACTCTCTTTCTTATAAGATTCAATTTACTAATTTAAACCAACTTATTTTTCAAGAGTTCAAATTTGTTGCCCTTGAGAATATACTATTTTTATGGTATTTACAATTTCTCAGTGTAGTTGCAGTTGGAAATAAATGTATTACTTATTTCCAGGTTGTGATTTAATAGGAGTACATTTCAGTCATTGTTGTTTTTTTTCCGTAGACTTTCAGGTCATAGAACTATGAAATTTTGTGACTGTATCAGCATCATTGGAATTAGGTTTGACCTTTAAAAACTTAAACATTTTTATTCATAATGAGAAAGTAAAAAGTAGACCATTTTGTATGTGGCAGCACTTCTACCAACACTGCTTGAGACCCAGGTTCCTCTGCTTCTGACTGTCACGGTGCCTCACATGGCGTCCGTGACCCTTCCTGGGTGAGCTTCAGTGGGAGGCGGAGCTTCTCCCTCAAAGGCTTGGGCAGGTACTCACAGGTGCTGCCTGTTCAACCGGTATTTCTCTCACACCTATTAGCAACATCCCAAACCAGGAGTTTGGCAGCACTCCCGAAATGGGTGTTCCCATCCTTCTTGCTAAAAGCTGCAGCAGCTGCTGCCCAGGAAGGCTGTGGGGAGCAGTGTGTGACAGAGGAACGGCAGCACCACTGGGGGTAGAGTCTCCAAAATGGGCTGTTCATGCTGTGCTCATCCGAAATCCTTTGTGCATTAAGTTTCCTTTGAATGCCTTGTTCCAGGCATGAACCTTATGGGCAGCAGTATCCAGGCCAAGGTCCTCCGGCAGGACAGCCGCCATATGGAGGACACCAGCCTGGCCTGTATCCCCAGCAGCCGGTGAGTTGGCAAGTGGGTGTGGGTCGTTGTGTTCTCTGTTCCTCTCTGAGAATCTGAAACTCAACTTGTGTTACTTCTGAAGATTTTTAGGAATTATAACCAAAATGATTAGCATTTATTGAATATTCAGGATGTATTTAATACTAAAAAGTACTTCTGGGATTTGGGAGTCAGTAATTAAACATAGCTCTTATTATATAATATTGTGAAATAAATATAACATATTAAATGAAGTTAAATACATTAATTCTTACAAATGATGACAAGACCAATGGAGAGTGAGGTGTGTTGTGAAGAGGTTCCATAGTGTGCAGTTGGCTTCTTGTCTGTGGGTTCCAAATCCATGGATTCAGCCAGCCACAGACCAAAAATGTTTGAAAGTATCTTTAAAAAAAATTGTATCTGTACAGAACATGTACATGCTTCTTTGTCATTATTCCCCAAACAATAGAGATAGCAATTTATAAAGCATTCATTAACATTGTATAGGTATTAGAAATAATCTAAAGATGAATTAAAGTATACAGGAGGCAGTACATAGGTTATTTGCAAAGACTGCACCATATTCAGACTTGAGCGTTCTTGGATTTTGGTGTCCACAAGGGTCATGGAACCAATCCCCTGCAGATACCAAGGGACAACTGTATACTCTTGTGTCAAAAGCTGTTGTAAAACAGAAATTTGTCAGTGTTTTGAAGAATATATAGAAAAGGCAACTCAAAATGTTATATAGTAAAAGTTAATTTGTCTTTAGAAAACTAAGATATTAATGCCCCATATTCAAGTTGGTGGTGGCCATTGCTGTTTAGCTGTGTAAACCCCCAGCAGCTGTCAGAGTTGATGCTAAGGCTTGGGCCTCTGGGTGGCTTTTCAGAAACATAGGACCTCACTATTTCTAAACAACCTTTCAGATGGAAGACCTCTTGCAAAATAGAGGATTTTTTTTTTAAATTTTTATCACAAAGCAGCTTTTAAACATTTATTAGGGTTTTTTGGAGAGATATATGTAATAATAATAGTATATATATGTGTGTGTRTWTTATATATGCGCACACACATACACATACATACAGTGACTTRTATTATTGAGCTGTCTGATCTTAAACAGTTTTCAGGCAAAACAAATACTAATTAAAATCTCAGCATCTCACTCCCTCCCAACCAGAGATTCCCACCCACCCTGACTAGCACTGGTCCCCAGAGTTCCCAGCTTAGTGACAGGTACTGCTGGGGCTGGACACTGGGTGACATGATGTCACAGCCTGGGGAGCTGAATCCTGTCTGGAGAACTTTCTGTAAGACATCTCTTTGGCCCTGGGACTTCTGGTGGCCCTGGGCTCCTCGGTGCTCTCCTGTGGGCCAGCCTTTTGTTTCTCAGTGTGGCTTCAAGCCCCACCCAGCACCCGCCTGTGTGCTGAGGCTGCACTGTCACCATGCTTCAAGGAGAGGAGGCTTTTGTTTCTGCCACAGAAAATTTCCAACATGTAAAAACAAACTTTGGAAACCCTCTTTGGAGTGTGTGACACAAGGCATTATGTGACATGGAAACAGTCCCAAATTGTTAGTTCTCGTTATGTAGGAGCTTCCCATGTTCATCTTGAAATGAACATTACCACCAGGTAATAACTATTTTGCATAATTTGAGCGTGCGTGATTATACCTGTAAGAGCACGCCAGCATGATTTGTCTTTATATGAATTTCAGAATTATAAACGCCACATGGATGGCATGTACGGGCCTCCAGCCAAGCGCCACGAGGGAGACATGTATAACATGCAGTATGGCAACCAGCAGCAAGAGATGTACAACCAGTATGGAAGTTCTTACTCTGGCCCRGACCGGAGGCCCCTTCAGGGCCAGTATCCATACCCCTACAACAGAGAGAGAATGCAGGGCCCAGGCCAGATGCAGCCCCACGGAATCCCGCCTCAGATGCTGGGCGGCCCCATGCAGGCATCCTCCGGTGAAGGGCCTCAGCAGAACATGTGGGCAGCGCGTAACGATATGCCTTACCCCTACCCAAACAGGCAGGGCCCGGGCGGCCCTGCACAGGCTCCCCCTTATCCAGGCATGAGCCGCACGGATGACTTGATGGTACCTGATCAGAGGATAAATCACGAGAGCCAGTGGCCTTCTCACGTCAGCCAACGCCAGCCTTATATGTCATCTTCGGCCTCCATGCAGCCCATCACGCGCCCACCTCAGTCATCCTACCAGACACCACCGTCACTGCCAAACCATATCTCCAGGGCGCCCAGCCCGGCGTCCTTCCAGCGCTCCCTGGAGAATCGCATGTCTCCAAGCAAGTCTCCCTTTCTGCCCACCATGAAGATGCAGAAGGTCATGCCCACAGTCCCCACGTCCCAGGTCACTGGGCCACCCCCCCAGCCACCCCCAATCAGAAGGGAGATCACCTTTCCTCCTGGCTCAGTGGAAGCATCACAACCAGTCCTGAAGCAAAGGCGAAAGATTACCTCAAAAGATATTGGTAAGAATTACAGAGATTTGTTCTGGAAATGAATTTCAGTTGAAGTCTAGAATTTTATTTTTTTTCCACATTGTTTTTATGAGTGCATTATAGTTGAACATAATGATGGGATTATTGCTACATATTCATATATGCACTCAATATAACCATATAATTTGGCCTAGAATTTTAATTTTAGTTGATGTAATTTTTGTTGATATTAGTAAGATAAGTTTTTTWAAAAATATTGATATTTTTGTTTTAGGTGGACACAATATCTTTATTGTTTATTTTTATGTGGTGCTGAGGATCGAACCCAGTGCCTCGCACATCCCAGGCCAGCGTGCTACCACTTGAGCCACAATCCCCAGCCCCATAAGATAAGTTCTTATGAGTGCAAATTATCAGAATGCTTTTCTATAAGAGCAATAGTTAGAAACCATTCAAATTAAGACGGTGCTGGAGAAGAACTTGAGTTGATGTGGTATTTTTAGGTGTGAATGTTGTGTGGAGATTAGAGCTTCAAATAGGAGGTCAGAGGCTGAAGTTGTGGCTCAGTGGCAGAGTGCATGCCTTGCACATGTGAGCAAGGCACTGGGTTCGATCCTCAGCACCACATAAAAATAAATCTTAAAAAATAAAGATTTTTATAAATATAATACTTATTTATTTATAAATATTATAAATAAATAAATAAGAGGTCAGGGAATCCTCAGTAATTCTATACTGTGTTTCAAGCTTAACGATTTGACATTAACCAAGCCACTTAATCCCTACATCATGTGCTAACAAACCCACTGTGAGGTCATGGAAATGCTAAGGGTGACCGTGAGAATTTGAAGGCATGCCACTCTGATTTGGTAACAACACTGTGAATTGCCATGGGAAAAAGCGGAGATTTGGCCGTCATCTGTAAATACCGTACCTGGAGCGGGCTGCTGTGTGCTCTGTAGACTTGACGTAATCTGCCCAGCACTGGCAGATGTGGCCCAGAGAGCTACTTCAGTTGAAGCTGATGTCACTTGTTCAGCCTTCAAGAGAGTGTAAATGCTCATTAGAGATCTGGAATGTCTGGGAGTACACAGTTTTTTCTGCATTTATTTAACACAAGGGAAATAATAGATGTTGGTTGTATAAGAAAAAAATTTCAGAATCACTTGACTTAAATTATTTGTAGCAATTAGAAAATTGAAGATTCTAAATTAATACATTAAAGATGTTTTTAGTCATTGGACATGAAGAAGATATATATGTAGAGAGAAAAAAGTAAGGCATTTTGATATCTGAGGGCATCACATGGGGAGAGAAACTGCAGACACTTTCACACCATTTTTTATATAGAAATATATATAAACACAATGTGTGCATATGTATGTTTAAATAAACATTTATTATTGTTTAACAATTCTTAGTATATGTTATATAAGTACTTGTCTGAAGCCTAGGGAAAAATGTGTTTTGTTTTGTTTTGTTTTGTTTGATAACAGGGATTGAACCCAGGGGTGCTTTACCAGCTATATCCCCTGCCCTGGTGGTTTGTTTGTTTGTTTGTTTGTTTTTTGGTTGGGTGTGGTGTTTTTTTTGTTTGTTTGTTTGTGTGTGTGTGTGTGTGTGTGTGAGAGAGAGAGAGAGACAGACAGACAGACATGGTCTTGCTGAGTTGCTTAGGGCCTTGCTAAGTGGCTGAGGCTATCCTTGGAACTCATGATCCTCCTGTCTCAGTCTCCTGAGTTGCTTGTTCCTTATTAAAAAAAAAAAAAAAAAGTTTGACTTTTCTAATGTAAAAGTACTATATGACTATCTATCTTAGAAAGTTTGAAAAATAGAATTAAAATAAAGGAGGAGGGTTGGGGTTGTCGCTCAGTAGTTGCCTAGCACATGTGAGGCACTGGGTTCACTCTTCGGCACTGCATAAAAATAAAGGTATTTTGTCCATTTACAGCTTAAAACATTTTTTTTTAAATAAAATAAAGGAGGAACAAGTTCAGGGCCTTCCCCCATGACACAGTACTATGGGTGCCCAGAAACCCCCTCCTACCCTCCTAACTGTGGCTCAGGCACATCAGGTAGAACAGGGCTCCTCCTCAGTTCTGGTTTCCCACCATGCTCTCCTGCAGGGCCTCCTGAGCAGCTCCCATTGAAAAGTAATGGGTCCATTCTCCAGCCCCATCATAGGCAAATCTTATAATTCTTTATCTAATCACTTTATTTCTTCAGGAACAGGAATAAGGAAAACAAGAAAAAATACAGCCCTTTTATTTCCCATTCCTTGGTTCAGACCACACTCTGAAATCTAACCATCAAAGTGCTGATATTTGTCAGCAGCATGTTCTTGAGCAGGAGCTCAAAAACAGAAGAAGACAGCATGGGGAAATCAAGGCTTTGTATCTGAGGATGTGCTATTTGGGATTTAAATTCTCCTTTTGTGTCCTGCATACTTACCAGCCTTCCAGAGAATGCAAAAGAAGACAGGAGCACTTCCGGGCCCATTCTTACTGGAAACCAATGCATCCTTACAGACTGTTAGAGATGAGAAAGGACCCTRTGCCTAGCCCAGCCATCCTCGGCTACCAGTGGTCCATGTTTCACCAGCAAAACAACAAAAAGATCTTCGACAACAGACGTTTCTTAGCACAACCTGTCACCTCCATTTAAACTTAGAAGAGGGGCATGTTCAGCTCTCAGAGCATCTGTTTAACCTGATGCTCCACTTCTTTCCTCTCTTTCTTTTGTTACTTTCTGCCCTTTCATTCATAGAGTTCATTTTACTGATATCCTTGTTCTTTCCTGTTTTCAGTTACCCCTGAGGCATGGCGTGTGATGATGTCCCTTAAATCAGGGCTTTTGGCTGAAAGTACTTGGGCTCTGGACACTATCAACATCCTTCTCTATGATGACAGCACGGTTGCTACTTTCAATCTCTCCCAGGTGAGCAAGCTGGCACCAGTCCAGCCAGTGGCCAGATTAGAGTGTTGGGAAATGAAGTCCAGTCGTGCAACACACCTGATCTGATGCCCAGGTTGATTGGTAGTGATCAGCTAACCTCTCTAATCATTGTAGTCATAAATCGACATTGATCAATATGTAGCTGCCTGAGAATGTGATCTGCGGTGATACTCACTTCAGTCAGGTGATACACACACATACCTGTGCTTCTCAGGAAAACAGTGACTGTGGGTGGGGGGGGGTGTGGCCAAGTTAAATCTTTAGATGAATGTTAGCAGGCCAAAGGGAATATTAGTCAAAATATAACAAAAAGTTAAGAGTGAATCAGGGTTGAAAATATGGTTAGTTCCAATGGAACATTGCCCTACTTTTCAGGGGGATGTGATGTCTTTCAGTTAATTAAAAACAAATAGGGGCTGAGATTGTGGCTCAGTGGTAGAGCGCTTGCCTAGCATGTGTGAGGCCCTGGATTCAATTCTCAGCACCACACATATATAAATGAATAAAATAAAGGGTCATCAAAACATATATAACAACAAATGGTATGTTACAGAAAATGTATGAAGTATATAGAAGTAGAGAGGAGGTCAGTGAGCCYCACCACCCTACCCTACATCCAGCTGGAAATGTCATGGTCTTGTGGCCAAACCTCTGTCTAGATCTACGCCTTTATTCTGCCTCTTCCTAGGTTATTCTGAAGCAGTCATTTCACCTTTAAGAATGAGCCTCGCCAGCCGGCGCGCTGCTGGAAGCTGGGCAGGAGGCAGCTGGATGGGGGGAGCCCAGGACGGGCCCTTCTCCCTGGAGCACATGAGCAATGCTCTGCTTTCTGTTAAAAACAGAGCACTTTCCTTGCTTCCACTGAAATAAGACCATCCTCTCCCACCTCCCCTTTCTTCTTTCATATATTCCTCAGTGTAATGTGGCCCAGAAGGGTGATTTTCAGTTGATAGAAAGCAGATTAATAAGGTCTTAAATGTCACACAAAGTCTCTTTTAAAAGAAAATAAATATTTTTAAAATGTATCTGGCCTTCACTAGAGTAATTAACTTTCATCCTTATAATAGGTGAGCTGTGCTAGTCACATGTTCTCACACTCAGGTCACTTTCTTAACTTCCCCTTTTCCCCAGGGGAAACGTAAGCTTCAGTTATCCAGACTCCTACCTGGAAATGGTTTCTTTGGGACCCTGAAAGCAAGTACTGTGCCAGAGTTGGTGCTTCTCACCACTTTCCAAAAGACACTGCCGGCCAACAGGACAGTGTGGTGATGCCGGTGTCTGTCAGGAGAGCCCTGGTTATGACCTACTTCTTGGAGGGCCCTTGTGTGGCAGGGCTGGCAGTGGGGTCCTGGAGCCCTCCAAGGCTCAGGGGCTCACAGGAATCGCAGCTTGCTCTCGCAGTTGGTGGCTCTCTCCTAGTGGCTTTTGTCTTTCAGCGTGAGCTGTGACTAACTGAAATGTAAAATTGCATTTTATGAAACATTTTAATTCATTTATCAAAGACTAAATTGATTTGTTTCTAATTTTCAGTGTTTATGAGCTACTACATAGTTGAAATTATCTTCTCTAAAGGATATATAGTGAATATAAATTAGGGTAACCTATGGCACCTGAGACAAAAATAACCATAAAATCCTAAGAATAATAACCATAAAAATCCCAGCAGGCAAGTCTCAGATAAATAATAGAAGAGAACGAGTCACTTTGGGTGAAAGAGTCTTTAAAATCCACATTCCTACTCTTCTAATAATGAGTGTGCTGTATCTAAACCAGGTGGATAAAGAAGAGCCGAGCGCTCCCTCATTGATGACATTAGCAATGTGGAGCAAGAAGTCAGGTTCAGGTTGGGGGAGTTGAAAGTCAGCAGCAGCGGGAGGCGTGCCTGTGTTGGCTTGGTTCATGATGTGGGATTTGGGAAGTTCACCCAGCACCCATGTGGTCCAACCCAGCCAGAAAGGTGGTCCCAGGGTTTCACCCCTCCAGTCACAGCTGATGTCATGACTGTACCTCTTCTCTCTCCTCTCCTCTAGTTGTCTGGATTTCTTGAACTTTTAGTAGAATACTTTAGAAAATGCCTGATTGACATTTTTGGAATTCTCATGGAGTATGAAGTGGGAGACCCCAGCCAGAAAGCACTCGGTCACAGTGCAGTGAAGGGAGAGGACAGCCAGTCCCTGGCAGAAGATTCTGGGAAAGAGGAGGAAGACACTGAGGGTCTCGAGGAGGAGGAGGACGAGGAGGAAGAGGAGGAAGACATGGAAAAGGTGGAGTCGGAGGCAAAGAGCAGTGCCACCCTCGGTGCCCCAGACACCACTACAGTCCCCAAAGAGAAGCCCAGACAGGCCAGTAAGTTTGACAAGCTGCCCATAAAGATTGTCAAGAAGAACCACCTGTTTGTGGTGGACCGCTCTGACCGGCTGGGCCGCGTGCAGGAGTTCAGCAGCGGGCTTCTGCACTGGCAGCTGGGGGGCGGTGACACCACGGAGCACATCCAGACCCACTTTGAGAGTAAGATGGAGATTCCTCCTCGCAGGCGCCCACCTCCCCCTTTAAGCTCCACAGGTAGAAAGAAAGAGCCAGAAGGCAAAGGTGATTCTGAAGAGCAGCCAGAGAAAAGCATCATAGCCACCATCGATGATGTCCTGTCTGCTCGGCCGGGGGCCTTGCCCGAAGAAGCAAACCCTGGACCCCAGACCGAAAGCAGCAAGTTTCCCTTTGGTATACAGCAGGCCAAAAGCCACCGGAACATCAGGCTGCTGGAAGACGAGCCCAGGAGCCGGGACGAGACCCCACTGTGCACCATCGCACACTGGCAAGACTCGCTGGCCAGGCGCTGCATCTGCGTGTCCAACATCGTGCGCAGCTTGTCTTTCGTGCCTGGCAACGACGCTGAGATGTCCAAACATCCGGGCTTGGTGCTGATCCTGGGGAAGCTGATTCTTCTTCACCACGAGCATCCAGAGAGAAAACGAGCGCCGCAGACCTACGAGAAGGAGGAGGACGAGGACAAGGGGGTGGCCTGCAGCAAAGATGAGTGGTGGTGGGACTGCCTGGAGGTCTTGCGGGACAACACACTGGTCACATTGGCCAACATCTCGGGGCAGCTAGACTTGTCCGCTTACACGGAAAGCATCTGCTTGCCGATCCTGGATGGCTTGCTGCACTGGATGGTGTGCCCATCAGCAGAGGCGCAAGACCCCTTTCCCACAGTGGGACCCAACTCAGTCCTGTCGCCTCAAAGACTTGTGCTGGAGACCCTCTGTAAGCTCAGCATCCAGGACAATAACGTGGACCTCATCTTGGCCACCCCTCCATTTAGTCGTCAGGAGAAATTCTATGCTACGTTAGTTAGGTACGTTGGGGATCGCAAAAACCCAGTCTGTCGAGAAATGTCCATGGCGCTTTTATCGAACCTTGCCCAGGGGGATGCGCTAGCAGCAAGGGCAATAGCTGTGCAGAAGGGAAGCATTGGGAACTTGATAAGCTTCCTGGAGGACGGGGTCACGATGGCGCAGTACCAGCAGAGCCAGCATAACCTCATACACATGCAGCCCCCGCCTCTGGAACCACCTAGCGTAGACATGATGTGCAGGGCGGCCAAGGCTTTACTGGCCATGGCCAGAGTGGACGAGAACCGCTCGGAATTCCTTTTGCACGAGGGTCGGTTGCTGGATATCTCCATATCAGCTGTCCTGAACTCTCTGGTTGCTTCTGTCATCTGTGATGTACTATTTCAGATTGGGCAGTTATGACATAGTGAGAAGGCAAGCATGTGTGAGTGAAGATTAGCGCGTCACATATAACTGGCTGTTTTCTGTTCTTGTTTATCCAGCGTAGGAAGAAGGAAAAGAAAATCTTTGCTCCTCTGCCCCATTCACTATTTACCAATTGGGAATTAAATAATTAATTTGAACAGTTATAAAATTAATATTTGCTGTCTGTGTGTATAAGTACATCCTTTGGGGTTTTTTATTTCTTTTTTTTTTAACCAAAGTTGCTGTCTAGTGCATTCAAAGGTCACATTTTGTTTTTCACAGATTCTCTCTTTAATGTTCTTTTTTCCATGTTGTATTGCATTTTGGGGGAAGCAAATTGACTTTAAAGAAAAAGGTTTTGGCAAAAGATGCTAAGATGGGAAAATTTCACCACACTGAGTCAAAAAGGTGAAAAATTATTAGTTTCCTATGTATTTTATTCTTCAGAGAATGTTAAAAAAAAAAAAAAGTTGCATCCCATCACCCAAAGCTCTGTGCAATAGAAACTTCTAGAGATATAGGTAGAGGGGCTCAAGGAGGTGTGTCAGTCAGTAGTCAGAACTATGAATGATACTGGTTTCTCCACAGGAAGGTGGTTACATTAGGCTAGGAGCAAAAACAATGTCTTTTAAGTTAGAATTGAAAATACATACCTGATAGCGATCAATGAAAATTGCTTCCTCACCACTACCGCCATGTCTGCTGTCTGTCGTTTGGCCCCCCACATGACAGTTCTTCACAATTCCTTTAATCATTTTTTAAATATTTTTTTTTACTGCCTATGGGCTGTGATGTATATAGAAGTTGTACATTAAACATACCCTCACTTTTTTTTCTTTTTTTTTTTTTTTTGTTTTTTTAGTACAAAGTTTTTAGTTTCTTTTTCATGATGTGGTAACTACGAAGTGATGGTAGATTTAAATAATTTTTTATTTTTATTTTATATATTTTTTCATTAGGGCCATATCTCCAAAAATAAAAAAGAAACAAAAAACACAAAAAACAAAAACAAACAAAAAAAAAAACAAAAAAAAAAGAGGGTAATGTACAAGTTTCTGTATGTATAAAGCCATGCTCTGTTTCGAGAGAGCAGCTGATCACAATTTGCTTCATAAATCAAGGTGTGGAAATGGTTGCATATGGATTGATTTAGAAATGGTTACCAGTACAGACAAAAGAAAAAATACAACTAAAAGGAAGAAACACAACTTCAAAGATTTTTCAGTGACGAGAATCCACATTTGTATTTCAAGATAATGTAGTTAAAAAAAAAAAAAAGAAAAAAACTTGATGTAAATTCCTCCTTTTCCTCTGGCTTAATGAATATCATTTATTCAGTATAAAATCTTTATATGTTCCACATGTTAAGAATAAATGTACATTAAATCTTGTTAAGCACTGTGATGGGTGTTCTTGAATACTGTCCTAGTTTCCTTAAAGTGGCTTCATAGTGACGAGTTATTTACAAGAAATAGGGGAAATACAGCAGCATCCTCAAATTACAAAGCCCTGAGGTCTGAAGGCACCTTTCGAGGGTTACCTACTCTAGAGTGGGGAGCAACACTTGGATTTTCTCAAATTATCTAGCTAATTAGTCTTTCTTTGAAGCAATTAACTCTGACATTGAGGTATGATAATTTTCAGCGTAGACGGGAAGTGGCCGCCAACCCACTGGAGGTGAGAACTCCGAAGCTGACTGGCCTGAAATGTAACACTCTGCCTTTCACTAGTCCATCGTAATTTTAATCAAAGTTCAGTCTATCCCATGTTTCTTCTGTGTGCCTCAAAGTTATTTTGCATTTAGTTTACTCCACCGTGTATAATATTTATATTGTGCAATGTTAAAAAGAATATGTTATATTGTATGTGGTGCACATAGTGCAAAGTGACTATTTCTATTTCAGGGCATATTATTATTCTCATAGTCCTTCCTACCTGGTGCACATAGCTCTTTAATACTCGTCAGTTCTAATTCAAACTTTTTCTCCAGGGGTCGTTGACGATTATCGTTGACAATCAATTTCTCTGGAACTGTTACAGAGTCATCCTGTTAGTGGGCCCCTTCTTCTTCTGGCTCTACCTCTCACCCCTCTTCTAGTCACAGTGTACTCCACACTCCCAGTCCCTGACACATCTGCTTTCCTGGTTCACATTACCCACAGTAACATAAGGGAGAGTTAGACAGGAGCACGCAGTCAGAACCAGTGTAAGACATGACTCTGTAGTCACGAGGAAAAAAAAAAAAATAAGAATTTTTTCCTGCAAGCAGTCTCATCTGTCAACTCCCACATTACTTAGTCAAACAGTCTTCTTACATAACARTGCAGCCAAATATATGTTGAATTAAAAACCCATTTATAATTCTACTTTAAATACAGCTGCTTGCTAAAAACAGATTTTAGTGCTCCAAGCTTAAAACATGGAGGTTTGTAAGATGGAATTCAATATRATTCTAATTTGTCTCTCATAGTGTATGAATAAAAGGTGTATTTCATGAACTCTGAGTTATCTAATGTCCCAATTCTCTAGTCAATCAGAAGAGTAAAATCATAGACTATGAATGTCATGCTTTGAGTTGTAGCCAGTGCCCAGAGTCYGACCTTTGAGCAGCTCGTGGGCACAGGCCAACATGCAGCGCAGTCTCTAGGCTCCTCCAGGAAGATTCTAGCATCCTTTCTCCACTCTCACCCCAGAATCAAGACTCACAGAAGCCCATGAAGAATTGCAGCCTGCTTGAGATCATCTTGCCTATAAACTGAGTTATTGCTTTGTCCTAAAAATTAGTTGTTTTTTTTTTTTTTTTCCTATGAGGCTTTTCAGAAACTTACAGGATGCCCATACTTTAAATGTGTACCAAAAAAAAAAAAAAAAGATAAAAATAAAGGTGCAAAGAAAGTTTAGTATTTTGGAATGGTGCTATAAAGTTGAATCTGTTGGTATTTGAGTGAATTTTTTTAATGTCACATAAATGATACTATGGGGTGGCATCTGCTCAGAAATAGCTACTTGGAGTGTTTGGTTTGAGAAGGAAGCAGAATCGGTTTTTACTGATGAGTGTGGCCTGTTTGAAGATTGTTAAACTTTAAAAATCGTAATGAAGAATGCTTTTTTCCTAGTGGAGGGGGGCAGTTTACACAGCATAAACTCTGCTGCTCTAATACAAGGCATGCTGCTTCCCCTGCGAAAGCCTCCCTTTCCAAAACTGCCGAAAGTTTTTCGTCTCCTCTCAGATGACATGTGCCAGTTCCCCTATCTGTTCCCCTATGAGGAATGAAGAAAGCATTACAAATGAGCCACAATGGAGGCCAGACAACCCATTGCTTTTGGGTGGGCTGAGGTCTCTTTCTGGGAGCCCAGTGCCTGAGTCCATCACCCTGTGCCCCTGGCACACCCAGGAGAACTTGGAAGTAAACTTTAACTTAATGCTTAGGCAAGTTTCTCAAAACTAGTAAATATTTCTGGTAGTGTACATCTGCTAAGGCCACACGTCATTCATTAATTCAGCAGAGGTACTGAGCACATACCAGGTGCCCTTCTCTGTCCAGGCTCTCAGGATAATGGCCTTGGTTTAATTGCATTTCCATCTTTCACATCAGACAGTCATAGAAATGTACAAGTCTGCTCAGTGCAGTTTGCTTCCAAAACAATACCCGCTGCACTTTGGCATTGATAATGGGTTTTGCTGTTGGACACACAGGGTGGCCTGGAGACCTCCCTGTGTGCCCTGCAGATGACTCTGAGGCCCCTGCCAGCTCTGAAAGTTCCCTGCTCAGTCTCCCCTAAGGGGCCTAGGAGTATGACAGTGGAGGGAGAAACTGCAGTCCCCCATACAAAGCTCTGGAGCCCCTGCGTCAAGTGCACAGCCCTCTGCAATGCCAGGCTCCAATTTCCCATGTAACTCCCTACCGGGTTTAAAAATGGGAACTTGGAGAGTGAGTCGGGAGTGGGGGAGATCATCACATTTATGAACAAATGCGACTTTTTCTCCAATCTGACTTCAGGCACTTGAAGGCTTACCCCAGCTTTCTACAGTCATTCTAAGAAACAAAAGAGATCTCAAAACAACCCTGTGTCCTGTCCTGAGGGCACTCCATAACCCACCGTACCACAGTGGAGAGGAAAGTGGCCTGCGGGCAGGAGGCTCCCTAACCCCAAGCATCTCCTGACTTAAGTAGCCTGGAATTTTTTATTTTATTTTATTTTTTTATAATTCTTATAAACATGCTGCAGAGCTTTGGACAACACTGGCTAGCCAGAGAGCATGTCGGACTCTTCCCCTAAATGTCCATGTTCCTTGCATTCCTTTCTCAAAGTGAAAGATGTCCTCACTGAAGAAGAGTGTCACTGTGACCTTGAGCAAGGTATTTAAATTCTTGAACCTGTTTCCTCGCCTGCAATGGTCTAACCCCCACCTCACAGCATTGACAAGATTAAATGAGACAGTATAGGTAAAAGCCTTGCAATTACTGAGCGTTGAGCGTGCGTTAGTCCTAATGTACTTACACACACTTGGTTCCTTTGTCTGCTGCTCAAACGTGTTTTGCATGTTTTAAAAGTAAGGCCTGGGAGAATATCGTGAGCTTTGTCATTAGGGGTGTTCTGGGGAATGCCATGCCTAGCCTGTTGCTCACCTGTGTTCAGTGCCAAGGGTGATTCTGATGCTTTTTTATTGAATGTCAGTTTGGGATGTCAGACATCCAGGGAAGGGGCAGACCCCCCCCCCTTTTTGATATACCTGGGGGAAGCTAGTCTGAAATTCAATCATGCAATAAGTTTGTGCTGCCCCCCACTCAGGAAAGGTCAAATACGAYGGTGACTGGTCACGATGTTTGACGTCATACTCCTTTTCCTCTGATACACACAGCACAGAGCTTGCCTAGAAACAAGGTGCCCATCTTCACACTGAGCTGAGAGGCACCATAGTTCCAGAACTGTAGAGTCGAGTCCAGGCCTCTCCGTTTGAGCACAAGCATAAGGTCAAGGAAGGAGTGGAGACTGAGCTTTGCTCTTCCACCCAAGGTTGGCTCTTAGCTGGCCTGGGTTCTGAATATTCTACAAACCACGTTTTCCCAAAGAATCGAGGAACTATAATATAGATACAGCTCCTTAAAGATATCCTTCACCAAACACACACTTAAAAGCAACAACCATAGCATCCACACCAGTGCCTCCTGGTAAGTGGTGATCTCTACGTTTTTTTGCACTTCAAGGAGTAGCATAGCTTCTAGTTGTTCACCACAGAAGCCTTGGTACAGAACACTATCCTGTCCACCATTCAAAAAGAGTTGCAGAGGCCTGCATACCAAGTCATGTGCTGAGCTGGCCCCGAACTGACCCAGAATATGTATGTGCCCACAGCCTGTCACAAACCCCAGAGGAGACCAGGGGCTTCCAATGGTATATAGTGACCACAAATCAGAGGAAGAGCTTAGATGTAATGTCACATGCTCACTATATATCTGCACCTCTATTAAAATGTCAATGTAAAGCAAACCAAAATTAGAATCCGGACAATGTTCTGGCCTTCCAAGGGTCTCCTCTCATTATTGCCTTTTTAATCTTCAAGCCCCTCACCCATGTGTTTTGTGTTGAGAAAGATTATTGGAGCTGAGGGTGCAGTTCAGTGCAGAGCACTTGCCAAGCCTGTGTGAGGCCCTGGGTTCCAGCCCCAGGGCAAGCAGCTCACGGCACACCCCTCAGACCTACAGCCTTCCTCAGTCTCCCTTCTCATTCTAAGCCACGCAGTGTGTACAAAGGGTGAGCAGTGTGGGCTTGAGTCCCTACTGGACACAGGTACTCTACCAAGACCCTGATTCCCAAGGCATGCCAGACAAATTATTTCCCCACAAGAAACTTCAAATACACCACAAAACCTTCACTGGAATTTAAATTTCTTCACAACAAAGTACTTGGGGGGCCATGATACTCTGAGAAATTAAGAGTTCAGCAACAACCAAGCCCTAGCTGTGTTCACGGCTTAATCTGTAGTCATCCTAGTGGGCCCATCACTAGGAACTGGCATGCCACCGACAGGCACCACGTCACTCTGGTCCTGGAAGCTCTGCTGGCCAGGGCTGCTGGAGCATTCCTCCTGATGAATGACCGCTGACATCCTAGTGGACAACCCTTAGGGTTCTGATTTCATAATATCTTCCTTTCTTGCTTTTTATTCACTCACTGTGATTTAGAAGAGGACACCTGAGGAATGACAAATGACAAGGACATAGGATGCCAGTTGCTTATATTTGGTTCATGACTTCTAAAAATGCTGGTCCCATGCAAGAGGTTATT